AGATGTGTGTAGGGGAGGTGGAGATGCGTGTGTGGGTGGGGGAGATGAGTAGGGGATGGGGGAGTGATGTGTGTAGGAGAGGGGGAGTGATGGTGGGGGGGAGGGGAGGGAGTAAATGTGTGTAGGGGAGAAGGGAGTGATGTGTGTGAGGGGGGAGTGAGTGATGTATATGAAGGGGGAGTGAGTGATGTGTGTAAGTGAGGGGGAGTGAGTGATGTGTGTAATTGAGGGAGGAGTGAGTGATGTGTGTAGGGCAGGGAGGAATGTGAGGGCGGCGTGTTAGGGAGGGGGGTGCAGGCCAGAGTTTCTTCCAGGCATCTCTTCGGGGGGGCCAAGCCCCCCCGAAAATTTTTTTACCGCCCCCCCCCCCCCGAACGAAATGAAATTTATATAATTTATATAGAAAATATATACTTTTAACAGTGTCCGCCCTTCCCGAAGAATTTTTTACTGCCCCCCCCCCCCCGAAAATTTCAAGTGCCCCCCCCCCGGAGAAAAAAGTCTGGAAGAAACACTGGTGCAGGCGGCGTGTTAGGGAGGGGGGGGGGGGTGCAGGCGGCGTGTTAGGGAGGGGGGGGGGGTGCAGGCGGCGTGTTAGGGAGGGGGGAGTGCGGGCGGCGTGTTAGGGAGGGGGGAGTGCGTGCGGCGTGTCTATAGAGACACTGTCTGCAGCAGGTACAAGCAGGAAAACAAAAATTGAATTAGCTGCGCGCGCTGAATATTTGATATGACAGCCGAGCTTGTTAGCTGACCACGCCCCCGGCTCCCCACTGCCCGTGGTTCCCCGCCCCCTCCCACCTACCGGCGATGGTCGAGATTTTAACGGCCTGGTGTAAACCTACGCTACACACAGAACACTTTATTGGCCGCTCAAATATTGGCGCGTTACCATGACGTCATGCTCAAGGGCAAGAACTGCGGTGATGCACTGGGCCAGGCCGCTGATGATATTAGAAACAAATGTATTGCGATGATATTTGTTTCAATAAACATCAGAAATAAAATTTAAAATTTCATCAAAAAATTAACACAAAAAAACATTAACCTCATGATTTCTAACATAGACATCCTTGTGTCACCCTCTGAAAACACATAGACATGTGTCACCCTCTAACATGGGCATGTGTCACCCTCTAACATCCTTGTGTCACCCTCTAACATCCTTGTGTCACCCTCTAGCATGGACATGTGTCACCTTCTAACATGGACATGTGTCACCCTCTACCATGGACATGTGTCACCCTCTACCATGGGCATGTGTCACCCTCTAACATGGGCATGTAAAACACAGTTAAGATTCACGTGTCAACATGTTATGCGCCATATTGCCAGTTGACTCTAACTTCAGCCTGCTCTCCTCTCTGTCTACTTCCATATTTGCCTCTGTCTACCTAAGTAAATTGCAGAAGTTGTTCGATGTTGGTGTTTTCTTTCTTAAATAGATTGCTGTCTCTAGCCAGCATGCCTCATCTGCCCAGGGTCCGAACTAGGGACTTTTGGAGTTTGAATCTTATGCTCTACCATCAACCTGCCCCACCCCACCCCTCAGCGGTTTTTCTCACCGTCACGTATGGTCACCAAATTGCTAAACCGTCTCCATACAATGACGTCACACATCAGCCACAAAACATTTTCTTTCTAAAATATTTACTGAGCTAGGTCAGCATAGAGGTTATTGCGATAACGAATAAAAGTCTTCTGAACATTCTGTTTCTAGGATAATATTTTAATGCAATAGTGCGTCACAGCTGTTTGAATGACGTCTGAATAGTGCGTCACAGCTGTTTGACAATGACGTCTGAATAGTGCGTCACGGCTGTTTGAATGACATCTGAATAGTGCGCCACAGCTGTTTGAATGACGTCTGAATAGTGCGTCACAGCTGTTTGACAATGACGTCTGAATAGTGCGTCACAGCTGTTTGAATGACATCTGAATAGTGCGTCACAGCTGTTTGAATGACGTCTGAATAGTGCGTCACAGCTGTTTGAATGACGTCTGAATAGTGCGTCACAGCTGTTTGACAATGACGTCTGAATAGTGCGTCACAGCTGTTTGAATGACGTCTGAATAGTGCGTCACAGCTGTTTGAATGACGTCTGAATAGTGCGTCACAGCTGTTTGAATGACGTCTGAATAGTGCGTCACAGCTGTTTGAATGACGTCTGAATAGTGCGTCACAGCTGTTTGAATGACGTCTGAATAGTGCGTCACAGCTGTTTGAATGACGTCTGAATAGTGCGTCACAGCTGTTTGACAATGACGTCTGAATAGTGCGTCACAGCTGTTTGAATGACGTCTGAATAGTGCGTCACAGCTGTTTGAATGACGTCTGAATAGTGCGTCACAGCTGTTTGAATGACGTCTGAATAGTGCGTCACAGCTGTTTGAATGACGTCTGAATAGTGCGTCACAGCTGTTTGAATGACGTCTGAATAGTGCGTCACAGTTGTTTGAATGACGTCTGAATAGTGCGTCACAGCTGTTTGAATGACGTCTGAATAGTGTGTCACAGCTGTTTGAATGACGTCTGAATAGTGCGTCACAACTGTTTGATGCAAGAAGAAAGCAGCAACGTCTGATGTGCCCATGGACCTGGTCGGTAGAAAAATAAAACATCACATTTATGTTTTACCAGCCAGTATCATTCAAGCTTGTAAAAAAAAACTATAGGATCACTACAAACAAGTTGCAAAGTCTGCTCCACCAAGCATGTACCTTTTGCTACATTTACTATTACGCCAACCCCCTCACCCTCTTAACCCTCCCCCCCCCCCCCCCCACACACACACCCAAATGGTGTCAATGTGAACCTGCTTAATCTTAAGTTTTTCGTGGAATCGACCATCAATTTTTTCAATACAAAACGACTCCAGCCGCCCCCCTACCTTTGTTGTCTCACAATTTTAATCCAGTTGTCGCCCCCTGCACCACCGGAAGTGACCCAACACCTGACGCAGGTGGCAGCTCTACAGAAAGGTGAGTCACACTCCGTGCTCAGTTTTTTTTTTCCAGCATTTTCAACAGGTAAAAAATAACAACTGGAGGTGCGCCCGGCTCTAGGGGGCTGGGGAAACAATACGATTATGGCCCCATCAATGTGGCCTTTTCACAAACTGGACCACCGGCCACCGTGGGTTGCCCGGCCCTCGTGTTGACCCATCAGAACCAGCCGAGGAAACAAATACCTCATGGACGCAGGTAAACAACGGGGGGTGGGGGTGCTGGGGTGGGGGGGGGGGGGCGTCCATTCCAAAGGACAAAATGCATGATACAGCCATGCAGGAAGTCAGATGAGATATTTGAGACGTGAGGATACCTTCAGACCACACTGACGTCACTTGATGCTCTGCTAGTTCTTGGGTTCTCGATCTTTCAGAGGTAGGACTTTAATGTAGGAGTTATGTAGGGCTCTGTCGGACTAGTCTGTAGGATTGCTATTTAGAAACATTCTGTAGGACCTTTTTGTAGGATAAGTCTGTGGTACATTTATGTAGGGGTTCTGTAGGATCACTTAGTAGGAGTTCTGTATTTTCCATTTTGTAGGCTGTTATGCATAAGTTCTGTTGGACCACTCTATTTGAGTTCTGTAGGAACAGTCCGTATAAATTATGTAGGACCATATTGTATGAGTTTTGTAGGACCAGTCTTTAAAGTCCTGAAGGACTTATCTGCGAGAATTCTGTAGGAGATCATTTAAATAATTTAGATCGCCACTGGGAATTATTATATTAGTAATATTTTGTAGGAACTCCTTGCATTTTGTACAGAGTTATATCAATTATACTTTGTAGGAATTTCTTGAGTATTCCACAGATCGTTGTATCAGTAGGAATTCCTTGCATGACTTGCCACATGTCTAAAACATTGGAAGTCTGACAGCATAAGTTTTCTCTTCATAGAATTAGTTTTGTCTGTACATAATGTAGTTAATCTTTCTTTAATAACAGAATTGGTTTCCAAAATGTGTCGAAAGTTTCATAAGGGAGCAACGTTTTTCGGAAAGAAAGCAAATCAGTATAATTTATGTATTTTCAGGACATTTAAAAACTTACTATATAAAGGTTTTTTAATATTTGTTTTATTGTTCCACTTTTTGGGTCATTTATTTGAAACGAAGTTGACCCCGCATTCAACAAAAAATGTGTGCTTTGAAGTCTGACCTGTAGATTACAATCTCTTAAGAAATTTATCTGCCCCAAAGTCTGCGGTCGACTTTCAGGCAAAAAATCAGCCAGCCGTGATTTTTCTAAAAAGTTCACCGTCGTTGGTTAGCTGATTGAGAAATCGCTATTATTTAATCTTTTTATCTCTACTAATTTTATTGAATTTAGTGATGTTTTTATTAAATTTTAATGGCTGATATATTGTGTAATTAGACTAAAATTAGATATTCTTGTATCGTCATCGGAGACAAATGCATTTCAAAAGTTTGAAGAATCGGTGCATTAGAAGTTGATTAAAATTGAGTAAAAAGATGTTCCACAAACACGCAAACAAACAAACATTAAAAATTAAATCAAACCTAATAAAACAAAGGGACATTCTATTTTAAAAAGAGACGTTTTTTTACTTTCTCGTATACAGAGTATAGAGGAAGTATTGTAATCGTGTACAAAAATCACATGAAATTTTGACAATTTTCATCGTTTTACACCTCAGTACTTCATCATGTACAGAGTATAGGGAATTTATTTTAATCGGGCAAAAATAATAAATGCAGATTTATCAAAATTTCGGTGTTCTATGCGTAATCGAGTCGGAAAAACTGGGCTTTGCAATTCTGTTCGTGTGTCTGGTTGTGTGTATGTGTGTGTGTAGGTCTGTGAACACGATAACTTGAGTACCGTTACAGCTAGGTTGATGAAATTTCATATACAAGTATTATATCAAATGTGTAGTTCTGTATCAACTTTTCAGAGATTTCCGGTAATCGGAAAATTAAACTAATTCTACTTTTGGTTTTTCAAAAACATAACTTGTTTACTGTTGAAGATAGATAAACAAAATTTCTAATGTAAGTATCAAATTTTGAGTAATTTCCGTTAACCGGAAGTAGTAATCCGATTTCTCAAAAAAAAAACGCATGTGAATTTATAAAGTACTAATAATATTCCGCACCATTTGGCGTTCACTTGGTGCGCTATTCTTTTTTTCTACGAGATTCTTTTCTATTCTAAAAAGTTTAAGTATTTAAAATGGATTAAAAATCATGTCTATATCCCGAGGTGCCATCATCCGTTATATAAGAATATTCGAGAAAGTTGAGGGGAGATTACTCCCTGTTACTACTGTCTGAGGTTTATGTCCCTCTAAGAGCATTCGGCAACGTTTAGCTACACATTTTAAACATTATTTAACATATGGCACATATTACACATTTAAGACATTCTTCAAAATATGGCCACACATATCTAGAACTTCCTACAACATATGACTGCGCATAAAACGAGGTTTAGCCATACACCATTTGCAGATCGCGACACCATTTTTAGCTGCGACAATATTTGAACCATGTTTGTGTGCAGCTAAAAAAATGTCCAGGCACTTGGCGGCCATTTTGTCGTCTGTTTGTTTTCTTCATGACCTGAGCAACATTTGACCGGTCAGTACCTGGATCCTTCCGTACTTCCGATTGTGGTGAAACCTTTCCGTCATTTCACGTGTGCAAGGTCTCTTCCTGCATTCCAGTTTCTCTCTTCACTCGTCGTCAGTTAAACCCTATGTTGGTCAGTCCATCTGTCCATCTGTTGGTCAGTCCATCAGTCAATCTGTTGGTAAGTCCATCTGTCCATCTGTTGGTCAGTCCATCTGTCCATCTGTTGGTCAGTCCATCTGTCCACCTGTTGGTCAGTCCATCTGTTGGTCAGTCCACCTGTTGGTCAGTCCATCTGTTGATCAGTCCATCTGTTGGTCAGTCCATCTGTTGGTCAGTCCATCTGTTGGTCAGTTCATCTGTCCATCTGTTGGTCAGTCCATCTGTTGGTCAGTCCATCTGTCCATCTGTTGGTCAGTCCACCTGTTGGTCAGTCCATCTGTTGGTCAGTCCACCTGTTGGTCAGTCCATCTGTTGATCAGTCCATCTGTTGGTCAGTCCATCTGTTGGTCAGTCCATCTGTTGGTCAGTTCATCTGTCCATCTGTTGGTCAGTCCATCTGTTGGTCAGTCCATCTGTCCATCTGTTGGTCAGTCCATCTGTTGGTCAGTCCTGCCCCAGTCATGTTGCCCTCATCCACTACTCCCGTGAATGTCATGTTGCCCTCATACACCACTCCCAGGAATGTCATGTTACCCTCATACACCACTCCCGGGAATGTCATGTTGCCCTCATACACCACTCCCAGGAATATCATGTTGCCCTCATACACCACTCCCAGGAATGTCGCTGTTTAAAGCCCGTAGTACGTGCTAAACCATCCCATCTTCTGAGAAGTTTCCGGAATGTTCTTAGTGGAGCAATAGTACGATTATGGGACGATTTGGCCTAGCAGTAGACTCCTAACCCGAAAGTCTCGAGTTCGAATCCAGGAACACGTCAGTGGATGGTTACTGAGTCCACCCAGCTCTAATGAGTACTTAACTCGTTTGAGGGAAAGTAAAGGCAGATGAGCACAGTGCTGACCACACTATACCTTCATATGCTGAGGTCTCTAAAGCAGATGAACTCTACTTCATCTGCCTTATATGTCTTGTGCACTAAGGAAATAAACCGGTAGTGATCTCCCCTAAACTTTCTCGAATATTCTTATATAAAACAACAGGGGATGGTAACTGGGGATATAGTTATGATTTTTAATCCATTTTAAATACTTAAACTTTTAAAAATAGAATAGAATCTCATAAAAAACAATTGCTCACCAAGCGAACGCCGAATAAAGATGTGTATAATAGTGCGCAATATTATTAGTACTTTATAAATTTACATGCGTTTTTTGAAAAATCGGAAATAGCGTAAATTAGTACTTCCGGTAAACGGAAATTACTCAAAATTTAACAGAAGGTAGATAATTAGATCTTTTACTTACATGTGAAATTTCATTTATCTATCTGAAATAGTACTCAAGTTATAGGCTTTTGAAAAATTCAAAGTAGGAAAAGTACCACTTCCGGTTATCGGAAATCGCTCAAAAGTTGATACGGATCTACGATTTTGATAAAATACTTATATATGAAATTTCATCAACCTAGCTGTAACGGTACTCAAGTTATCGTGTTTACACACGGACACACACACACACACACACACAGACACACACAGACATACGGACAAGATTGCAAAATTATGTTTTTCCGTATCAGTGAGGTGTAAAACGTCGAGATTTGTAAAAATCTCGATTTTTTTTTTGCACGATTACAAGACTTTCTCTATACTTCGTATATACGAGAAAGTAAAAAGAAAATGAAGAATAGCACGCTTACGTTAAGTACTGTCCACCATGCTTAGTTGTCTTACATCTAGGCTGGTTGTGATGGTCGGTGTGTTCATTCAACTCGTTGGCCCATTTATAGTTTGTTGGTTCATCTAGCTCGTTCGTCCATAAGGGATTAGTTGACAAATTTAACCCGTTCGTCTATACATGGTTAGTTAATAAATTTAGCCCGTTCGTCTATATGGGATTAATTGATAACTCTAGCTCACGTTCGTCTGTCTATATAGAGGGTTAGTTGGTCCATATGGTGTTAGTTTTGAGTCCGGTGCTAGCCGCAAAGTCCAGAGCAGTGGCGTAGACAGGGGGTTGGGGGGGGGGGGGGGGGGGGTTATAACCCCTCCCATGAACCCCTATATATATATATATATATATATATATATATATATATATATATATATATATATATATATACAGGATTGTATATGATTTCATTCGGGGGACGGTAAACTCAAAGTCAGACCCCTATGAAGTGACGTCACACTTTAGCCGATCACATCTCTCCCCTACACATTTTTTGTTTTATTTCTGTAGTAGATGTAACCAAACTAGTAATATTTTGCCTGTAATTCTTGTGTATTATTTTCATCGTTGGTTGTGAGGACTGATATAGATTTACAAAAACAATATTCATTTCTGAAGTCTACTTTCATTCACAGACATACGGACAGTGTCCATTTTTAAAGAAGGACCTGAAATATGGGTAGTAGCAATAATTTTAACCTCAATATTCATAGCAGAAGCTGAAATAAATTGGGGATTTAAAAAGAAAACACGCACATGTCAGCATTAAACAAGTTAGGCAGCCTCTAATCCATAACAGTTATCCAGGGGAAACTAATTTATTTTTCCGATTGTTAAATCTAATTTTATTGCAAATCAAAATAAGTCAACAAAATTTGGGGTCCTGCACTAGATGACATCAAAATAAGTCAACAAAATATGGGGTCCAGTATTATATGACATCAAAATAAGTCAACAAAATATCGGGTCCAGTATTATATGACATCAAAATAAGTCAACAAAATATGGGGTCCTGCACTAGATGACATCAAATTAAGTCAACAAAATTTGCCTGTATATCTGTGTCTGTGAACACGATAGTGTGAGTACCCTTTCAGTTATATGAATACATAACTATTATATCGAATGTGTAGTTCTGTGTCAAATTTCCAGCAACCGAAAGTTGTACATACGGTACTTCCGGTAAAAAGCCAACAACTAGAGCGCTGTTTATGTTCGACAGACAAAATGTCATATATATGTATTAAATTGTACATGTAGTATTCTACCAACTTTAGAACGATTTCCGGTAACCGGATGTGGTACTTAATACAATTTCAGTGTGAACACTTTAACTTTTTCAGTTAGGACTCTTTCAGTTAGGTAAAAGAAAATTCATTTATAAGTGTAGGATCTTATACTTAAATTAATTTTAATTTTTAGTGACTTCCGATAACCGGAAGTGGTATCTTCCGGTTTCTAAAACTCCGATATATTTGACACTTAAGGACGGGAGTAGATTTACATTTGGGCTATATCTTTCATTCTTAAGGCCGTTATCTATATATATAATTCTCTTCTTGGAGACACTAGAAAACAAGCTGTAAGCGCGCTCCCTACCACCCCACCCCTACAAGGTCTGGTGAGCTTTGGTTCACGCTAAATGTTTACAATCGTAGAACCGGGTTTAGTGACGGTTACTAGGGGCAGATAATTTAGTTTGAAACGATTTTAAACTTAGGGGAGGTAACTAAGAGGAGGCTGCTTTCACGGGGGGGGGGGGGGTGTAGGGTAGGGGTTGGGGTTGGGGGAGAGGTTGGGGGTAGTATCATCCTTAACGACCTACTGATAGTGTTTTAAAGCAAATATTTTCAGTGGCAGCATTGGTACTGTCGAATTCACTAATTATGAATTACTGAAAAGTAGAAAATAAAACAACTAAATAGCGACGTATGATACGCCGCGGGTCGGCTCGTGTGAAATAATACAAAACACGCAAAAGTTGCACTGGTTGGCGTTTTCCACCAGCCCATTTTAATATGGGTCTATAGGAGAGTTCATGCCAACCGACCAATGGCAATCAAGAAGTGTATTACAATATGTGGGGAGGGGGAGGTGGACCTTAAGTCCTTAAACATTTTTTTGATTCATTTGTTTTCTTCAACATTTTTTTTCTCTTTATCGGCATCAGAAACGTAATTTACAGCGTCAGTTTGCCTTTCATGTTCGCTTTAGTATTACAGTTTTCATAAACGGCTTGTGAGGACTGATACAGATTTACAATAGTAATATTTCTTTCTTACTTGTAGCCTACTTTCATTCATTTAAGATGGTTTACTTATACATAGATCTAGATCTAATACAAAACGTCTAAATATAAAAATAAAAAAATATAACTTCTTTTATTTATTTATTTTTATTTTTTTAACAACATAGAGAATAACTCTCTATAAATTTGAATACACATGATACAGCAAGTCAGGCGATTACAAAGTTACAAAATCTTATTTGGCAACTCATATGAGAAGCCACAGCAACATCAACACGGCACAACACTCTGACCGATAGTTTATCGGCTCATGGGAGGATTTGAAATAAATATAAAGCCCGCGTTTAAACTTTAAACAAAATAATTTGATAAACATATTCTTTTTTTTTTTTATTAATTCAATTGTTTTAAACATTTAAATCAGTAATAATAATATATTTGATAGATTTTACACAGCATCAAAGACATGAACAATGAAACATCAATTGCATATATAATAATCAAAGGGAGAAAAAAAATGGCATAAGAACTAGATTAAAATAAGGTGTGCAAACTAGGTTTCTCCTGACTGCTTAGTTTACTGTGCTGCGGAGTCAAAAGTTCACATTGTTGCCACCCATGGACAGAAATAGAAACGACCGTGGGAGAAGTGTCTCTATAATACACATACTGATCTATCTATCATTCCATAACTTTTTTTTTAGTAATTTTTATTTTGTCAAGAGGTGGAATGTATTAGAATAGAAGAATTAAACTAAGTACTATTTCCTATTATACATGCCCTGAGTACAGTTTTTTTAACGGTTTTTTATAAACATTTTATAAATATAAAAATATAGTTTTGCATTTAAGTAGTATTTTTGCACTTTTTTATAGTGATATATGTGAGACACATTTTTTTTAAATAATAAACATAATCAAATTACTTTTGAATAGAAAAATATTATTGATATGAACGCAGATCAATAGTAATTAGGAGTTATGTCCCTTGCCATTTTTATTTTAAACATAAAATATCAAAGTACTAGATAAATGGCCCGTTGAGGAAGGGTACAACGGGCGCTAGGCTGATAGTGCTGTCTCTTTTCTCTAAACTAAAACCATCCCACCCCCCCCCCACACACCCCCACCCCCCCCCACCCCACACACACCACCCCCACCCCCACCCCCCACCCCCACACACACCTCCACCCCCCACACACCACCCACCCCCACCCCCACCCCCACCACCCCCACCCCCCACACACCTCCCCCCACCCACCCCCACCCACCCACCCCCACCCCCCAAAAAAACATGTCTACCGTCCCATTCAACGAAATATAATTATATACTTTTTCCAGTGTCCGCCCCCTTCCCGAAAATTCTACCCCCGCCCCCGAAAACCTCAAGTACCCCCCTGCCCCTCTCCGGGGAGGAAAAAGTCTGAAAGAAACACTGGTGTCGCGCTTAGCCACTACGCGAAGAATTGCATTAAAGAAATTGCGAGAAAACCACTTTTTAGATTAGACACATTAATTAGGTGGTAATTTTATTATAGAGTATCGATGAGGAAACCACCCCACCCCACCCCCCCACCCCCACACACACACCTCCACACACCACCCACCCCCACCCCCACACACACCCCCCCACCCCCCACACACCACCCGCCACCCCCCCACACCACCCCCCACCCTCCCCCCCCACACACCACCCCCACCCCCCCCACCACCCCCCCCCCCGCCACCCCCCCACCTCCCACCCCCCACCCCCCACTCCCAAAAAAATCATGTCTACCGTCCCATTCAACGAAATATAATTATATACTTTTTCCAGTGTCCGCCCCCTCCCAGAAAATTATACCCCCGCCCCCGAAAATTTCAAGTACCCCCCACCCCTCTCCGGGGAGGAAAAAGTCTGAAAGAAACACTGAAACCAACCCACCCCCCCACACACCACCCCCCCACCCCCCCCACACCACCCCCCCCCCCCCACACACACACACCCCCACCCCTCCACCCCCCCCCCCCCCCCCCCAAAAAAAAAACATGTCTACCGTCCCATTGCAAGAAAACCACTTTTTAGATTAGACACATTAATTAGGCGGTAATTTTATTATAGAGTATCGATGAAGAAATTTCTTTTGAGTTGGGGAGGGGGGGGGGGCTCAGACGTTCTTACGCGGGGGGTGGGGCTTCGCCCCTACCCGAAGAATTGTATGCAAGAAACTCTTCACGCAAACCATTTAGATTAGACAACATTTCCTTTTTTTCAATGTTTACGCGATAATCAATGACGTCATATTACTGTGTGCACTCTCTGGTTTGAGATTATGTTCTACTCTACGCTAAATGTGTCGACGTCATATTTCGTTTTTCGAATTACTGTGCATGTTTTTATTTTGCTTGTGTTTTCTCTAGAGCGTTCTTGTCAGACAAAGCGTTCTTGTCAGACAGCGAAACTATTATTATAGATTTTAAACAATTTGCACTAGTACCCCCTTTTTTTACCGTTAGACTTATCTGTAAAATGGTTTTTCCTTACCCTCTCCGTTAGACTTATCTTTAAAAATGTTTTTCCTTACCCTCTCCGTTAGACTTATCTTTAAAATGGTTTTTCCTTACCCTCTCCGTTAGACTTATCTTTAAAATGGTTTTTCCTTACCCTCTCCGTTAGACTTATCTGTAAAATGGTTTTTCCTTACCCTCTCAGTTAGACTTATCTTTAAAAATGGTTTCTCCCCTCTCCCCACTTTCATTATGACGTCAGTCTCTATTTTTAAACCACTTCCGTTTTGTTTCTTCCAGCGACTCTCCCAGATATGGCACAATGTGACCACGTGACCAGCATTGTTTCTATTTTTAACTTCTTCCTTTGTGTTCTTCTGTTTTCTCTTGGGGCAGCTCAAAAAACCAAAGGTAAGCTTGATTACATTAATTAACCAATTAACCATTGCTCGGTTACTTAAAGTAAGGTTATCTGGACTTAGTCAACCTCTCACCTGTAGATCCAACCACCCCACCACCCCTCCCCCTCTTCTTTCTTCTTCTTCTTCGTTCTTAATTATTAGTTTTGATGGGGATCGAGATTTATCTGCCAGTGGGTTTGAACTCGAGACTGTTCGAATGTATCAACCATGAGCTTTTTGCCGACTCGACCACGCCTCCATCACAATTAAGCGTTATGTGTCAACTGGTTTTGCGCCATTTAGGCCATTGACTCCGATTTCAGCATGCTTTTCTTTTTGGATTTGCTTCCATCGCCTTTGTCCAATCAAGAACAAACTACAAGGCAGCAGTTGTTTTAATTTTGGAGTTGTCTCTCTTAGAAGAGTGGCTGTCCCCAGCTAACGAGCCTCATCTGCCCGAGGGTTCGATCTCGGGACTTTTCGGTTTAGCAACCATGAGCTTTTACCGACTCGACCACCCCACCCCCTCTGACCTTTGACCTTTTGACCCCCAGATGTAGAGCCCGGCTACAAACGGGTCTGCTACTACACCAACTGGAGCCAGTACCGGCGTGACCAGGGGAAGTTCATGCCGGCGGACATTGACCCCTTCCTCTGTACTCACCTCATCTTTTCCTTCGCCAAAATCGAGAAGGGCGTTCTAGCTCCATACGAGTGGAATGACCTTCAGTACCCATGTAAGTACCGTGGAATGACCTTCAGTACCCATGTAAGTACCGTGGAATGACCTTCAGTACCCATGTAAGTACCGTGGAATGACCTTCAGTACCCATGTAAGTACCGTGGAATGACCTTCAGTACCCATGTAAGTACCGTGAAATGACCTTCAGTACTCATGTAAGTACCTCTGCAATGACCTTCACTGTTCATGTATCAGCCAAAATACAGTATTTATATATAGCGTAAACACACGCCAAACCACCTTTAGTAAATGTATATGTACCTATGGAATGACCTTCAGTGTCTGAATGTACCGATGGAATGATCTTCAGTGTCTGTATGTACCGATGGAATGACCTTCAGTGTCTGTATGTACCGATTGTATGACCTTCAGTGTCTGTATGTACTAAATGACCTTCAGTGTCTGTATGTACCGATGGAATGACCTTCAGTGTCTGTATGTACCGATGGAATGACCTTCAGTGTCTGTATGTACCTATGGAATGACCTTCAGTGTCTAGGTAAACCCACGGCACGAGACCAGTAAACAACGCACCTGTGCATCAGTCACCTACCAGTGGTTGTTGTAGCGGTCATCGCGTGCCCGTGGTGCTGCTTGCTTGACCAGTGCTAATGTAAACACGAGCAGGAAATCTACCAGCAAACGTTCGCACGAGTCGCTTCCCCTGACTAAATCTTTGCTCGTCTAAATCAATGTTATCCAGCGTCAGGCCGGGGCATACATTACACACTACCACACAAAGTGTTACACTACCACACAAAGTGTTACACAACCACACAAAGTGTTACACAACCACACAAAGTGTTACACAACCACACAAAGTGTTACACAACCACACAGTGTTACACAACCACACAAAGTGTTACACAACCACACAAAGTGTTACACAACCACACAAAGTGTTACACAACCACACAAAATGTTACACAACCACACAAAGTGTTATACAACCACACAAAGTGTTACACAACCACACAAAGTGTTACACAACCACACAAAGTGTTACACAACCACACAAAGTGTTACGATGTTACACAACCACACAAAGTGTTACACAACCACACAAAGTGTTACACAACCACACAGTGTTACACAACCACACAAAGTGTTACACAACCACACAAAATGTTACACAACCACACAAAGTGTTACACAACCACACAAAGTGTTACACAACCACACAGTGTTACACAACCACACAAAGTGTTACACAACCACACAAAATGTTACACAACCACACAAAGTGTTACACAACCACACAAAGTGTTACACAACCACACAAAGTGTTACACAACCACACAAAATGTTACACAACCACACAAAGTGTTATACAACCACACAAAGTGTTACACAACCACACAAAGTGTTACACAACCACACAAAGTGTTACACAACCACACAAAGTGTTACGATGTTACACAACCACACAAAGTGTTACGATGTTACACAACCACACAAAGTGTTACACAACCACACAAAGTGTTACACAACCACACAGTGTTATACAACCACACAAAGTGTTACACAACCACACAAAATGTTACACAACCACACAAAGTGTTACACAACCACACAAAGTGTTACACAACCACACAGTGTTACACAACCACACAAAGTGTTACACAACCACACAAAATGTTACACAACCACACAAAGTGTTACACAACCACACAAAGTGTTACACAACCACACAAAGTGTTACACAACCACACAAAGTGCTACACAACCACACAAAGTGTTACACAACCAAACAAAGTGTAACAAAACCACACAAATTGTTACACAACCACATAAAGTGTTACAAAACCACACAAAATGTTAAAGTGTTACAAAACCACACAAAGTGTAACAATGCTACAAAACCACACAAAGTGTTACAAAACCACACAAAGTGTAACAATGCTACAAAACCACACAAAGTGTTACAAAACCACACAAAGTGTAACAATGCTACAAAACCACACAAAGTGTTACAAAACCACACAAAGTGTAACAATGTTACAAAACCACAATGTGTTACAACGTTGCTAGAGTTGTCTACTCCTAGCAGTGGGGACAATCGCAGCATGTGAACAGTTCGGAGAATATTCTTTTCCTGATTTAGGTTGTGTAAGCCTTGTAACACATTACTTTGCGTTCTGTTATTGTCTGTTATTCTGCATTATTTTACACACTAAGATTTAATCAAAAGAAAATGTTAAATCGTCTCACCCCCCCCCCTCCCAGTTTTGTACAAGCAGTTCAACGCCCTCAAGTTGAAAAACCCCGCCCTGAAGACCTTACTGGCTGTGGGTGGGTGGACACACGGGTCCCAGCCCTTCACAGGTATGCTGCTGCTACGTCACCAAAACTGCGTGTGTTGGCGTCGTTTGTGTGTAGATGTCCTTTTATGTGTGGATAACGTCCCGGTGTTACTTAATTCAAATGTCCCTGTTTGAAATGTCCCTGTGTCAAATGTCCCTGTGCCAAATGTCCCTGTGTCAAATGTCCCTGTGCCAAACATCCCTGTGTCAAATGTCCCTGTGTCAAATGTCCCTGTGTCAAATGTCCCTGTGTCAAATGTCCCTGTGTCAAATGTCCCTGTGTCAAATGTCCCTGTGTCAAATGTCCCTGTGTCAAAAGATCCCTGTGTCAAATGTCCCTGTGTCAAATGTCCCTGTGTCAAATGTCCCTGTGTTAAATGTCCCTGTGTCAAATGTCCCTGTGTCAAATGTCCCTGTGTTAAATGTCCCTGTGTCAAATGTCCCTGTGTCAAATGTCCCTGTGTCAAATGTCCCTGTGTCAAATGTCCCTGTGTTAAATGTCCCTGTGTCAAATGTCCCTGTGTCAAATGTCCCTGTGTTAAATGTCCCTGTGTCAAATGTCCCTGTGTCAAATGTCCCTGTGTCAAATGTCCCTGTGTCAAATGTCCCTGTGTCAAATGTCCCTGTGTCAAATGTCCCTGTGTCAAATGTCCCTGTGTCAAATGTCCCTGTGTCAAATGTCCCTGTGTCAAATGTCCCTGTGTCAAATGTCCCTGTGTTAAATGTCCCTGTGTCAAATGTCCCTGTGTCAAATGTCCCTGTGTTAAATGTCCCTGTGTCAAATGTCCCTGTGTCAAATGTCCCTGTGTCAAATGTCCCTATATTTTTGTGCCTAGAGATGGTCGCAAACAAAGCAACACGGAAAAAGTTTATAGAGCATGCCATTGACTACATCCGGTCACATGAGTTTGATGGCCTTGACCTCGACTGGGAATATCCGGCCAACAGAGGAAGTCCAGCAGAAGACAAGGACAGGTTTGTCCTTTTGGCCCAGGTAAGTCGTGGTCTAGTCAAGTCGTGGTCTAGTCAAGGATAGGTTTGTCCTTTTGGCCCAGGTAAGTCGTGGTCTAGTCGTAGGATGATCCTCACCATAATTAATAACGACAATCAGTTACCTTTAGTATCTGTGAATCTGTAGGTCTGATGTACATATGGATATTGATGTACATATGTCCACCTATACATCAGACCCAGGTAAAGATGCTCATTTCTATCCCTAAATTCATGATTTGTTTGACCCAAACCTTCCAGGAGTTGAGGGAAGCGTTCGAGCAGGAGGCGAAAAAATCTGGCAAGAGCCGTCTTTTGTTGACGGCGGCAGTGCCGGGTGGTGAAAGGTTGGCCAAATCTGGTTATAACGTCAAGCAGCTAAACAAGTAGGTCACGTGGGTGATTGACGAAAATACAACTTACAACTTCTCTAACATATAACATCTCTAAATACAGCCTACAACATCTCTATAATACAACTTACAACTTCTCTAAGATATACAATCTCTAAATAACAACCTACAACATCTCTATATATAACATATCTAAATTACAACCTATAGCATCTCTATATTACAACTTACAACATGCCTAAAATACAACAATATCTACAATTTTACTTACAACTTCTCTCAAATACAACTTACAACATAATGTGTGTCCTTAACACCAATTTCTTGTTTAAATCCAGACCCCATTAATTAACTAATTAACATTAAATAATTAAGTAATTGTTTGTTGGACCCATGTATTGAACATATAACACCACTGTAACCCCACCCCCCACCCCCACCCCCACAGATACCTAGACATCTTCAACCTGATGAGCTACGACCTCCACGGCTCATGGAGTCCCCTGATAGGTCACCACGCCCCGCTCTTTGGGGGAGAGAAGTGGTTCGAGAAAAAGTCCGACTCGCTTAACGTGGTAGGTATTACTCCGTTAGTTGAACGTAGTAGGTGTTGTTTCCCTTGGTTAAGCACGTTTGAAAGTTACCCAGGCAGATGAAGAAGAGTTCACCTGTTTCTTTAACCTCCGCATGTGTATTTGGTAGAGTGGTCAGCCCAACCACTTCCCCTACCCTAACTCAATTAGATAATCAGAGCTGGGTTGACTCGAGCCTGGGATTTGAACTGGAGACGTTCGTGCTTGCAGTCGAATTCTCTACCTCCCGCCTCAACTAGTGCTTGCAGCGAATCCATGCTGCAGCAAATAGAGGATCTAATAGTTCACATTGCAGATGAAGCAGAGTAGTTCTATTTATGTGGTCACGTTATAAAAAGGTTTTGAGTCCAATATGAATCGAAGCATCCGTTTCTACTCCCCAACAAATGACAGGTACCCATTAGTGCTGAGTGGACTCCAGGGGGAATTTAGAAACGGGCAATCTAAGCATATTGGTTTAATGTAAAACAAATACATATTAAGCATTTTAGAAAAATCCATGTATATCTTTATAGACTTTAGTAAAAGCCGTGTAAATGTATAGGTTTGAGTAAAAGCCACGTATGTTTTCAGGAAAGTTCAGTGAACTTGTGGCTGGACATGGGCGTGGACCCCCACAAGCTGGTGATGGGGCTGGCGCTGTACGGCAAGACCTTCAAGCTGTGCAGCAAGGGACATCAGCCCGGCGACAAGGGCTGTGGGGGAGCTAACCCTGACACTCTGAACTACTACGAGGTTAGAACCCCTGGAACTTACCCTAGATGTGACCTAGGGTGTGACCCTAGTAACCCTACATATGACCTTGGGTTTGACCAGACAGATGACCCCTCCTTTACTCGATAGCTGCTCTAACCAACTGTTATATAATGACCACTATGGTGAGCTTTAGTGCTCACTGCTACTATTCCAATCTATGCCTCTTTCTGGATGTGAGGGTGGGGACAGGTGGATATGAGGTTGGGGAAGATAAGGTAGGTCTAGAATACTTTGATTGAAAGTCAGAAGAAGAACGGGTAGGTAGGTCTAGAATATTTTGATTGAAAGTCAGAAGAAGAACGGGTAGGTCTAGAATATTTTGATTGAAAGTCAGAAGAAGAATGGGTAGGTAGGTCTAGAATACTTTGATTGAAAGTCAGAAGAAGACCGAGACCTCGGGTTTAAAAAAAAACATTTTTCAGTTTTTACAATGTTGATTAGGTTTCATGGATTTTTTTTTTTTTTTTTTTTTTGTGTAGGTTTTTTTTTTATACTGTCGTAAATCCTGGGTGTGCGTTAGTTTTTATCTCAAGAACTGTGCTGTCTATATGTGAGATAAATAATGTTGCTACTCCCCCTCCCCCCCCCCCCACCCCCCTCTCCCACAGATCGCCCAGAGGCTGAAGGCGGGAAAGTTGCAGAAGATTTGGCTGGAGAACGAGGTGGCGCCCTACGCTTACAGCATCGCCGACAAGATCTGGGTGGGCTTTGATGACGAGGAGAGTCTCAGGGCAAAGGTGGGTTTGTTGGTTGGGTGGGTTTGTTGGTTAGGTGGGTTTGTTGGTTAGGTGGGTATTTATGTTTTGAAAGTGGATTATACTTATAAAATTATGTGGATGTGTTAGTTTGATTGTTGGTGGGGGGGGGGGGGCAAGTCATCTGTCATCTTTTACAATTACCTTATGTTGTCATGTGTTATGCAACACATAACAACTCTTGTGAATGTCATGTGTCATCCAACACAGGTGAACTTCGCCAAGAAAAAAAATCTGGGAGGAATCATGGTCTGGTCAATCGACGGTGACGACTTTTCGGGAAAGTTCGGCGACGGCAACAAGTACCCGCTGATGAACGCAATCAAAGACGCGGTGGAAGGGAAACAACCGGAAAATGACAGAAAGGTAAACAGTTTGGCTGGGGTTATCTTCCTTTAAAAGCTAAACTACAAATTTCCAGCCTCTTAAGTAGTATCGTTTGTTTCATTCAATAATAAATAACAAATAACTTTTAAATACTTTAATTTAAAATTATTTGAGTTTTTCATAAAATTTTAGGTCTTAAATAACGAGTTAGGAATTTAACTAAATTTATCCATTTAGCTTTAAATCTGCAACTGTAAATCTATCCATTAAGTTTGAAGTGTCTACATTAAACTGTAAATTTCTACTACCCCCACCACAAACAGGCGGACAAGAAACCAGTCAAGACAGAGCCCGTCAGCGCCACCACCGGAACCCCCACCGACCAGCCCCAACCCACCAAACCCAAACCCGCACCCTACTCGGACCTGGAGAAGGAGCTCTTCAAGAAACCCGAGGCCGTACCCCTGAGGGCAAATCTGTTCACAAACAGGAGAGTGACCCCCCCTTCTGGTGACCCCGTGACCTCAACTGCCAACACTCAGAACAAGGTGTCATCAAATCCTGAGCCTAATTCAGCAGTTCACACCACGGGCAAGTCGTCTGCTAGCCCTGACCGGAAGTCGTCTCCTATTCCAGACCGGAAGTCGACTGACCCCGAAGGAAAAAATACTTCCGTATACACCGCCGCCGCTGAATTGCGAGAGAAACTCCAACAAAGCAAGCAGTTCAAACCTCGGCCCGTCGCAGGAAGTAGTACGGTTATGGCGTCATCGACAAAACCAGGGCCGACAGCAACGGCATCTCTGGTCAAACAAAACTCGCGGGTTCGAGGCCAACACAAGCGACTCCCGCAACAAAATAAAGAATCCGTTAGTGTCTACAAACCCCAGCAAGATTCGTTCCTACACAAACCCCAGCAGGGTTCGTTCCAACACAAACCCCTGCAGGGTTCGTTCCTTCACAAACCCCAACAGGGTTCGTTCCTACACAAACCCCAGCAGGATTCGTTCCTACACAAACCTCCCATGACCAAATACTCAACGACCAACTTCTCCAAGAGCTCCGTGTTGAAATCGGCGCACAGAAAACCGGAAGTGGCCACGCCCCCTCAGCGTAGCACCCCCAAGGTGAGTGGTGTTCGCTGGTATACAGACAAAAATCTGGCCACTGTAGAAAGTGTGAGAAAAAACACGGACAAGAATCTGGCCACTGAAGAAAGTGTGAGAAAAAACACGGACAAGAATCTGGCCACTGAAGAAAGTGTAAGAAAAAACACGGACAAAAATCTGGCCACTGTAGAAAGTGTAAGAAAAAACACGGACAAGAATCTGGCCACTGAAGAAAGTGTAAGAAAAAACACGGACAAGAATCTGGCCACTGTAGAAAGTGTAAGAAAAAACACGGACAAGAATCTGGCCACTGAAGAAAGTGTAAGAAAAAACACGGACAAGAATCTGGCCACTGTAGAAAGTGTAAGAAAAAACACGGACAAGAATCTGGCCACTGTAGAAAGTGTAAGAAAAAACACGGACAAGAATCTGGCCACTGTAGAAAGTGTAAGAAAAAACACGGACAAAAATCTGGCCACTGTAGAAAGTGTAAGAAAAAACACGGACAAAAATCTGGCCACTGTAGAAAGTGTGAGAACAAATACTAACAAAAATCTAGCCGCTGAAGAAAGTGTGAGCAAAACTCGAACAGCACCGACGTCACCCAGGCATAAAAGTTTCACCAAGACCAAGAAGCGACCGGAAACTACGTCACAAGACGAGACCTCGCCAGTCGCTGTCGAGACAAGACGAGACTCAAGTGCGCAGAAACAATCCACGTTTGGTCATTTCGTGACCTTATACCCAGAGGAACAAAAAGGTCGATCGACGGATGTCTTATCCGACGGTCCATCTTGGGCGACCAAACTGATGACGGAAAAGGCTGTGACGTCAGACCAAACAACTAACAAAGAAACCGTTACACCCAAACAATCAACCGTAACTACGCAGGCAGAAAAATCGAATCCAAACAAGCATAAGAATATTCAAAATGGCGACACTTCCGCTCGGACCTATGACTCGGCAAACAAAGAAACAGCTGGTCAAAATTCAGAAAGTAAAGTTGTAATCAAATCCACGCAATCGGCGTCAAATCGAGGCAAAGCTCCCAGAAGGCATCAGAACCTCCCCACACCGTACAAGTCCCTGTCCCCATTTGCTGCTAACAAAGCACAGTATGGCCTGTACGAGAACGTTCCCAAAATCTCCAAATATTCCTTGACCGATGAGCAGTTGTCAGGAATGGTGGGAGAGTTCCAGAAGAGGCCGAAACATTACAAGTACGTCACGCAGAAGACAGAGCAGGAGGTGGGAGAAAAATCTGACCACAAGTCGGGCGGGAAATGGTGGGACAACTCCAAGACTACGGACGGTGCTACAACAGGATTACCGCCCTTGACAACAAAAGAGGCAGCGAGTAGCACGCAGATACTGGATGAGGTGAGGACACAGAGAGTGGACAGTACACAAAGAGTGGACAGTCCACAGAGAGTGGACAGTCCACAGAGAGTGGACAGTACACAGAGAGTGGACAGTCCACAGAGAGGGGAGAGTCCACAAACTACCCAGACGGGCGAGGGTAACTCGGACACCACTGAGGGGTACTCGCCGAGCCAGACCGAGACAAAAAAATATTCTAACAAACTGGACACCACGGCGATTGCTGCCGACAACAAAAGGGGCGGTTCCACGGTGTTGCACAAGACCACGCCCATCTCAAGCCCCACCCTCGACACGAGCCCACCAAAGACAACCTGGGGAAAATTTGACCGGAAAAGTCAAGAGAAGACTAAAGCCCAGTGGTGGACCCTGTCCACCTCGTCTGCTGGTCACGTCACGTCCAAGTCCACGTCATCTGCCAGTGACGTCACGTCCAAGTCCACGTCATCTACCAGTGATGTCACGCCTAAGTCCACGTCATCTGCTAAAGAGGTCACGTCTACCCGTGACGTCATATCCAAGTCCACCTCGCCTGCCAGTGACGTCACGTCTACGTCCAAGTTATCTGTCCATGACGTCACGTCCATTTCCACTTCGTCTGCCAGTGATCTCACGGCTAAATCCACGTCATCTGCCAGTGACGTCACCTCTACGTCGAGACAATCGTCAACACGGCAAAAGCTGGTGCAAGACAGGAGAGGAAAATTTGAAGCGAAATCTCCAAACACTTTTAAAGTCCAGAAAACACAACGAGAATATCCCAAAAATAATTCTTTTTCAAGCATAGTCATTTCCGGTATCCCCGGCGCTCCTGGTGTGGTGGGGAAGACGACAGATCAATATAATACCAACAACGCTGAGCCATCCGAAGCGCAAAAGATGAAAGAAGAAGAAGAGGCAGATGAGCAAGAAGGAAAGAACAGTACGACGTCGGTGCTGGCGGCTGATAACGAAATCGTCGAGGATCCGCCGGAAATTCCCGAAGTCCAGCCGTACCACGCCCAGCTGACCCTCAAGACTCTGAAGCACACGCCGAGCCCCGAGAAGATCTACCACTACAAGCACGAGAACAAAGCCAGCGAAGTCTCGCACGTGCACCAGCGCGTCAACAAGATGGCGGAGAACGAGATCCCGCGCAAGACGGCGGAGGCGACACCTAGCGGGGTGCTGGGGTCTGACGCCCGGGACTGGAGCAAGATTAGGAATCTGTTGCGTAACTCGACCGTCGTGTCCGAGATCAAATCCAAACTGGACGAGATACACAAGAGCGTGACCCTTGACCTGGTGTCTGACGTCACGACACCCGTGACGTCACCAGCAGAAACAACGAGGCCGCAGAAGAGCGAGGTCAAGTGGTACCAGCAAGAGAAGGAGGACGTGGACAACGTCAAGAAAAATGTAGTAGAAGATTCAGCAGACGACACGCTAAAACATTCCGTGCAGAGTACCAAGTTTTCAGCCAGTGATGACTTGCAGGTCACAGCAGGCACTAATGTGCCAGAAAGTTCCAGTAAAACAAATCTGGATCCCGAAACTCAAAGCTCCCTCTGGTGGGAGATGAAGAAAAATGGCGGTAAAGTTGGCACCAAATCTACGCCTGAAAACAAGAGCGTGGCCAAGCCCACTGGGAATACAAAGGAAACTTCACAAGGGAAATTAAAGGAAACTTCACATGAGACGATGAAGGATGCTTCACGAGGGATGGTGAAGGATGTTTCACGCGGGATGATGAAGGAAGCTTCACGCGGGGTGATGAAGGAAGCTTCACACAAGAACGACCACGTGAATCAGGTGGCTGCCTCTAACACGCCAAGCGACTTGAAAGCTACAAATGCCGAGCACAGCGAGACGACGCCGAGTCGGCCAACGAGGGCAGGGTCCACCGTCTGGTGGGACAGCGTCATGAACAGCATCGTGACGGATCCTAGCCCGGAACCTAGAACACGAGCTGAGCCTAAAACTGAGCCTATCACTGAGCTTAAAACTGAGCTAAATCTAAATGACGTCTTGCCAACCAACGAACAGTCCAACTTTGTGAACCCAAAACTTGAGTCTAAAGAAGAAAAAAAGTCTAAAACACTGCCGGGCGATATTTATGGGATCACGACCGAGAAAGGAACGGATCAAACAACATTCAAAAACAAGCGGCCAATTTACACGAAAAACGTTGAACCTGTTGCTTTTACCAGCGTCCGCAACTCAAAACTCTCAGCACCCCGCATGACAGGCGTCCCCTCAAGCCTGGGCAGCAAGACGCCCCTGACAAACATCCAAAGCCTGGGGAGCAAGTCACCTACGTCAGGCATCTCTCCCAGCCTGGGGAGCAAGTCATCCGTGACAGGCGTCTCTCCCAGCCTGGGGAGCAAGTCATCCGTGACAGGCGTCTCTCCCAGCCTGTGGCACAAGACGCCCCTGAAGTACACGGCCAAGCAGACGGAGAGGCCGAGGGACTACAGTGGCTACCTGGTGAGCAACTACAAGCTGGAGGGTGTTCGTAAAAACTCGGCGAGTTTCAGCAGCGTTTACAAAAACTACAAGGACAGCAAAAAGGGCCATAAACATCATATGGAAAAGCTGAACGACAGCATTGTAAAGAGTCCAGAAAAGATTTCTCATCAGAATCAAGTTCCACAGGCGTTTCAAGTAAGAACATGTTTATTTTACTTCTTTTCTATATTACTGTAATTACCCGTCATGTTTTGACATACTATCATTTATGAAAGTTACCATGTCTCCCTATTTATTCAGTGCTACACGGCAATTTTATATTTATGTGTGCTTTGTAAGCAAATTAATGTTTGTTGAAAAGAATACACTAGTACTAATACGTTGTTGTATAGCCAGGACAACGCCTAGCCGGTACGGCCAGAATAAGCCTCAGCTTGTTTGCCTGTTTTTTCTCCATAAAAAGCCATTTCTATGACGCTTCCTGGTTGGGAGTCGATGATTGCCATCTTAAGTTTTATTATAATTTCATAAAAAACATTTATACCTTTGATGTATGTGTATGTATAGTTGTTGTAAGACAATGAGGTTTCCCCTAACTCTCAAAAGAAAAGAAAAAAAAACAAGGAAAAAAAAAAGAATTGTAAATGTTATTTTTAAAATGACATCTTTCCATTCAGGCCAAGAATATATTCATAGACCTTGCAGGGGGCACCAAAGGGCAGATGCCCTATGTTGTAAGCACGGGGACAAGCAAGGACTTGGTCTTTAGCAAGAAAATTGTTGACGCCAACATTAAGTATGGGAAAGTTCTTCCGTCAGGTAAGTTGGGGGTCACATGACCCGTTTCAGATAGGTGAACTTTAAGGGTATGGGGTTTCCGTGTGGACGTAGGTTCAGTGGGGGGGGGGGGGTGTCGGTCACAGGGGTTTTCATTAAGATCTAGATCTAGTAGCTTTTGATTGTACAGGTAGAATATTTGGGTTTTTTAATTAGCTAAAAGTTTGTTTTTGCGTAATTGCAATATTCCTCCAATTATTTATTTAATTCATTTTTTATGTGAAGGTTTTATTTCGAAACTCAATTTCCAAAATTACATTTGAATTTCATTTTCCCCAAAAAAAAATATGGTAGTTTATTTAACAATGTAACAAAGTAGTAGAGCTTTGGTTTTCTATTCTTGGTGTTAATATTCCTACACATGTGACCATTTCAGGCAACTTCAAATGTCCGTCAACATTCGGGATCTACGCCGACCCCGAAGATTGCCGAATGTTTTACCAGTGCGTGTGGTACGTCTCCTTCCATCACATGTGTGGGCGGGGCACGGCGTGGAACAAGGAGGACAGGATCTGCGACTGGCCCAAACGGACAGACTGTCCGCTGCCAACTGACGAAGCAGACGTCTGAACAAGGTAGCCAGCACTGGGTAGCTAGCACTGGGTAGCCTGATGGAGGTAGCCTACACAGAGCTTGAGTTGGAGATTTCAATTCACCAACTGACTGTTGTTTTACTTTTTCATTCTTTTGTGTTTATGTTTCAACGACCAACGAGAAGTCGTGATTTTGTTTCGTGAAATACTATTGGCCTTGCTTTAGTAAAGTCAGTTTTTATTGGTTGTTCCTGTTAATGCTTGCCAAATGGCTGGATGGTGTAATGAAATCAACTGATGGTTTTTATTTTACGACACTGGCTGGAGTGTTTTAGTTGATATATTTAGTAAATTTGTGACAAGTCAAATTTGTGATAGTAAACCAAATTTTACAGTTACTTGTTGGTTGTTTATTGTTTGGTGAGAACTTTGAATGGTGTATGAGTAGAATGGACTCGAGACTCCAGTGCAGTGGCGTAGGCAGGGGTGGGGGTTAGGGGGGTCATAACCCCCCCCCCCATAGACCCCTCGGTATATATATATAAAGTATGAGGGGGGTGCAAATCGAAAGTTTGAGGGGGGGGGGGGTTGCACATCGAAAGTTTGAGGGGGGGGGTGCAAATCAAAAGTCTGAGGGGGGGTGCAAATCGAAAGTTTGTCCCCGGGTAAAAATTGCCCCCCCCCCCCCCTTTGAGACGATCCTGGCTACGCCACTGCTCCAGTGATAGGGTATGGTCTGGTATGGCATCACGTGCCTTCGGGTGATCTGACTTGGGAGCATATAATTGCTAACTCCAAAAGCCCCCCCCCCCCCCTGGGCAGATAATGCTCGCCGAGGGGGGAGCATGAACCCATTTTGGTGAAAATCCTGTGTAAAACGCTGCCTTGTTCTTTGTGTGGAAAAAGGGCTATGAAAGCAAATCTAAGCAGTGTTTCTTTCAGGCATCTCTTCCCGTCCCCGAACCAAATAAAATCTATATAGGGGCCTATATTTTGCCTATACCAGTGGTTGCCCCCCCCCCCCCGAAAAACTTAGTCCGCACCCCCAAAACTCATGTGGCCACTGATAAGGTCTGTCTTCCTGTATGGATGTGGGGCATGGACCCTCAATGCAGACACCCAGAGATTGATCCAGGCCCTGAAAGTGAGATGTTTACACAGACTCCCAGAGATATCTTAAAGACATCACATTACAAATGAAGAGGTTCGTGAAAAGATCAACAATGAGTATGGTCCAATTATTAAGAACATACTAAGCAAAGTCAAAACAAAACCACTTTATTCATTCCTGTCCGGTCACGTGAGCTCTATAATCTTACTCAGCGTATACCAAGGTGTGACATTAAAGTCGCTCTATACAATCAGAGTTTCTTCCAGGCATCTGTTCGGGGGGGGGGGGGGGGGGGACTCAGCCCCCCCCCCCCCGAACAAGATGGAATTTATATAGTAAACATGTACTTTTACTAGTGTCCGCCCCCCCCCCCCCCCCGGAAAATGTTCACCGCCCCCCTCCCCCAAAAAAATCAAGTTCCCCCCCCCCCCACCCCGGAGAAAAAAGTCTGGAAGAAACACTGTATACAATTATGGCTTGTCCCGTTCAGGTGATAAGGTGGGTGGGTGGGGGATAACCAACTCAGTTTTAGATAGTTGTAACAATAAACATACATATACATATATACTGATTCAGAACTAGATTTAAGTAAGTTACAGCATTATTATGGCAATAAAAAAATTTACAGAGAGGTCCATGGGGGGGGGGGTTATAACCCCACACCCCACCCCCCAACCCCCGCCTACGCCACTGACCCTGAATCACCCATGGCAAACCTTTTTTTATCTACCAACACAAACAATCCTTTACTAATTATAAATAGATCCTGAACTACGTGACCGCAGGAAAAATAATTTGTGTACAGGCCGAGTGTGTCCCCATTTCGTCAGAAAACTGATGTAACTACAGATTTAAATTTAGCAGCATATTGCGTCATTATTGATTTCTTCGAAAATATGAATATTTCCTACTTTAAATGATTATTTTTAATCAAGCGTGGTAAATTAGACTATCTTGATCCACATAAATGCCAGCTGCACTTTTAGTACTCTATTTCAACCCATTGAACTAGTGGAATGCACCGAACGTGAGTATGCGCTATGGGGAATAATAAGAAGAAATACGAGGTTCATGTGTGCTACTGCGCATGTCAGTGACCCGAATTCAGAATAATTTTGTTTATAAATAGAACGGAGTCCCCTGGGCGCAGCTGATTTCACGAGGTTACCAAACATTTTCTGCCACTAAGCGAGCGCTTCTCACTGTGTGTATAGCATCCATTTAATAAATAGCTTCATTTAGATATTTGTAAAGTTTGAAAATTATAAAACTCGCTGTGCTTTGGATTCCAGGATCTTCAAAATAAGAATTGTATGCGCCTGTTTTAACGAATACTATTTATACGATTTTGAATATAAATTTTAAAAGACTTAATTTAAAACTTTACATTTATAAAAACTTCGGTTAACAACAAGCATATTGAAAGTTGAACCAGTTTTTTGGACCTGTAAGATGTCGTTGATTGCAACTTGCCGTGGACTATCAAGGCATGGGACCACCTACTCAACTATTGTGTCGTCTGTGGTCAGCAGGTCATATTCCACACAATTCTTGAATGGGTCAGCGATTGTGTGCAATAACATGTTGCTGCGGCGGGACCTTCCAGCTGAACACATTTCATTTCAACAGGTAACTGTTACTTTAAATAGTTAACTTTCATTTTGATAGATAAATGTCAGTCGAAAATTAAATGTCGTTTTCGTTAGCCTAATACTAAAGGGTTTACTTGGTATTTACTATTTAGACCTAATAATTGTGTAACTTAGTATTTAGACCTACGCATACACACATTCAGAGCGGTACTTTTAATTTATACTTTGCAAGTCCATGCAGCATCCATATTTCCAAAAATGAACATGGCCTATTTGTTTTTGTTTTTTAGTTTTGTGTTATGTAGCCAAATACCCCCCTCCCTCACCCCAGTGCTTAAGCCGGATCCAACCCCAACACTCAGCATTTTATTTTTAATATGGCGATCACGTATCACCTTGACCTTTTAACAGAAGTAAAGAATCGTACATGCGTAGCTGAAAGCACTTTTGTGTGTAAATGAATGAAACCGGTCTACTAACGATGTCAAATTGTTCTGTGTTGGGGTCGTGGGTCACGTTGAACTGACAGATGGCCTTAGATAAGGAAGTAAGCCATTTGGGACACGTCTTAAAGTTAAAGACGTGACATGGCCGCAAATTAGCGGAGAATATCTCCGCTTTCAACATAGTCAAACACAGTATGAAAATGTGAAAGAACCAATACTGACTGAATATTGAGGGGAAAAAAACATCCGCTGTTTTAAAATTTGCTAAGTTGTTAGTATTTTTTTCTGGCCAGTGTAAAAGTAAGTCAATTTTGACTTTTTGTTATGAAAATTTGCACCAATATGCCAATACTAAAAAACTAAATTATCCATATTTAAATTGATTTAAAGTATTTTGATTTTAAGTTTTACCGCTGTACTGTCACGGGCGGAAACTAACGCATACGTGGGTTGAGATCAAGTAAAAATAAAATAACCGATTTAAAAGTAAAAGCTTCTCCTTGAATCATTCCTACTTCCTACACTCAGTCAGACACTGACACTCCTACAGTGCTACACGTACCCTACTAGATCTAGATATCTAGACTTCTAGATCTAGATCTAGATTTCTACATACTACACTCACTAATGAACAATACTACACATCATACATTCATGATTCAATCAATACCACATTAGCTCCCAACCACTTAGGACTTTTAGTTTAATTAAAATTACATCACCATTCTAGTCAACTGTGGCGACCTCTGGGACTAAATCAACAAATGCTTAATGATAATGTACTAATTTAAGCCATTAGACTTTAGATTAGGCTCACTGCTCTAATGACACTAAACGCTGACGGTTGCAGTGGTCCCATGACGGCCATGTAGCTCACACAGTTGCCGTCTGAATGAACTTCATTCAACGAAGTTACGACCTAACAGCATACTTTACCTGATGATGTAAATATGTGAGTGTGACACCATGCTTTACCTTAAGATGTCACACCATACTTTTACTGATAAACAAGTTTCAGCAGATTGTAACCAAGCCAGTTAGACTAGGATTTTCTTGTGTCACAACCATCTAAGCAAACTATGTTGTCACACGTTGGAAAAGCTTAGTAAGGCTTAGTTGCATTTTTCCCTTGATTTCATGTCATGTCCATTTCAGTTCAACTAAAATGTCTTATCAAATAACATTGTCTTTTACTGTTATTTTTTCTCAGGTCAGAGGCCTTGCCGACTCTAAAGAAGTTAAAAAAGCGGTGGAAAACTTTCGCCAGGGGAAGTATGACACCCTACCCGACCCATCAGATATATCACACTTTAGGTAAATATTGAAATATGTGCTACTTTCTTCATGGGAGTAGAGAGTGTAGTCTTACCACTTTTTGGTCCATGAGTCATAATTGTAGGCCTACTATTTTATGGTCCATGGGTCGAAAGTGTAGGTTCTACTAGTTTTTTATCCGTACAATATTTCTCTCCAATTGAGTGCATTAATTACTTCAAACTACTAAAATACTGAACAGGAGTGCAACAGCTGATACAACTAAAACAACAACCGTGGAAGAGAAGGGCAAGGATGGCAAGGACACCCCACCAATTGGAGTGTATACACTACCACACCCCATCTGGTAACTTACAAACTTTTCACATAGTTGACATAAATGATACAGTCAAGATCTTGAAGTACTTGAACTTAAGATTTTAAAAACTGACCTTGAAATATTTTTTTAAATTGACCTTGAACTTGAACAAAGTCTCACATTTGTTGTAAAAAAAACTTGTTTTATAAAATCTAAAGTTTGTGTAATGTTTCAGGACTGAGGACCAGCTTCACAGTGTAGAAATTACCCACAAACCACCAGAAGGAATTGTTGACAAGGTTTGTTCACAATCAGTGTTTCTTTCAGGCATCTCTCACATCACCCTAAAGCATGCCCATCTACCTACTCTGGATGAAATAGAAAAACATATTTTGTACAGAAAATATATACTTTAACTGGAGTTTTGTTTCCTCCCGACCCCCAATGCAGTTTCATGTGCATTCCCCCACTCACACACACACACATACACACACTCAGGAAAAACTTTGTCTAAAAAAACCTGTTCACATTAGTATAGTTTACCAGGATATTAAACAAAAATACACTTTTTTAAACCTTTAATAGCCATTTTCTAATAGTAACTAAAAAGCTGTTTTGTCATCGCTAGTCTTCTTATTTCATGTCCTCATTTGTCTGCTTTTATCAATTTTAGCTCAGCCATTTTAAAACATTTTCTGAATAAAAATCTTCATAAATTGACAACTTATGTTCACTTAAACATCTGCCAAATGTTAAATACTATAAATATTTTTTTACAGCTAGCCTATGGCACAGTACAACTACTAAGGGGAGGTTTTGATGTGTTTTCTGGTTTTAAAAGTGGAGAGAGAAATGAGAGGAAATGGCTTAAGTAGGTTTGTTTTGATGCTTTATGTAATGGAATACCCAACATTTTTTTAATGAATATAATAACTTAATTTAGTTTAAGTAAAAATAAAATCATTAAATACACATTTTTTTAAATTAAAAATTGTTGAATTAGTAATCTATAACATTTGCAATTTAAGTTCACAAATCATCTTAATAAGAGCAAAACATTATTGCCATATTGAAAGAATAAAATGTTTATAAACTCTGCCAGTCGCATCTGTTTCCTGGAGACTGTGGCTGGTGTGCCAGGTATGGTAGCAGCCATGATGAGGCACATGAGGTCCTTGAGGAGGATGCAGAGAGACCAGGGCTGGATACACACACTCTTAGGTAAATACCACCAGACATCCTTACACACATCCTTAGGAAAATACCACCAGACTTTCTTAGGTAAATACCACCAGACATCCTTAGGTAAATACCACCAGACATCCTTAGGTAAATACCACCAGACATCCTTAGGTAAATACCACCAGACATCCTTAGGTAAATACCACCAGACATCCTTAGGTAAATACCACCAGACATCCTTAGGTAAATACTGCCACACATCCTTAGGTAAATACCACCAGACATCCTTACACACATCCTTGGTAAATACCACCAGACATCCTTAGGTAAATACTGCCACACATCCTTAGGTAAATACCACCAGACATCCTTACACACATCCTTTGGTAAATACCACCAGACATCCTTAGGTAAATACTGCCATACATCCTTAGGTAAATACCACCAGACATCCTTAGGTAAATACCACCAGTCAAGTTACTCACAAATCAGATAAATACAACTTGTTAGTTATACACAAATAAAATAAAAATTAAGTAATTAATTGCATGTATGTGAATACACATGTTATTAATTAAAAGTTAGTTTTGTATTAATAAAGAGTTTCTCCACACAGAGGAAGCTGAAAATGAAAGGATGCACCTGCTAACTGCATTACAGCTGAAACAGCCATCCCTCATGTTCAGGTTGTGTGTGATTGGGTCACAGGGTGAGTTACAGTAAACTTTACACTCCCAGGGTGAGTTATAATACACTTCCACAGTGTGTTGCAGTAAAATTTACACTCCCAAGGTGGGTTACAGTAAACTTTACACTCCCAGGGTGAGTTACACTAAACTTCAAATTATTGATTCAAAAGTCAATCAACAAAATTGATTTGACTTCACCTAGTCCTCTATAGAGGAGTATGTGAAGTCAAATCAATTTTGTCTATACTCATGGTGGAGCTTAAGGCTTAAGGCCTCAACCATTGTACTCCACATTATCTGATCCATACTGTGCTATTACTTTAATGAAAGTCAATTGTAGCCTAGTATTAAAATGTGGATACTACAGTTTACCTACTGATATTTTTGAAAACTTTTTTTTTTAAATTTGTAATTATAAAATAAGATAGATTTGTTTAGTTCTACTTTGGCGACAAGTAAAACAGTGTTTATCTAGTTTGGTGATGGTTTTCTATTTTAACCTGTCAGGTTTCTTTGTGACAATGTTTGGTGTCAGCTACGTCTTCAGTGCCAAGTTTTGCCATCGTTTTGTCGGCTATTTGGAAGAAGAAGCTGTCAAAACCTACACTAAGTGTTTAGAGGTTAGTGACAACCATTGACAGTTCTATTGCTATATGCTATAACTCTATTTCAAATAGGCCTAGTTGTTTTAAGTAATTTTTTTATTTTACACTAAGCTTAAAAAATAAGTCCTCATAGCTCTATTTCAAAAACTTGTTTTAATTCATTCTTTTCTTTTCAATTGTGTGTTTACTTGTATTACATGTTTAACCCTTAAAGCACCAAGCCACGATCATGATTTGCTGTTACATAACTTATAATGCATTAGGCCACATGGCGCGTGCTTTAAGGGTTAAACACTAAGCTGAAATAATATTAAAAATGATTTTGTATTATGGTAAAACAGTGTTGATTTAAACAGGCACTACATTAGCACACTGAAAAAAAAGCAAAATATGAATTTTTCATTAAGTCTGGTTATATGGGTGTAAAAATCTAAATACCAAGTAGGTTACAGTTACACAATTAACTGTACTAACTGTGAAATGGGGTTATTTCATTTTAGAGCCTAAATTTACCTCCTAAAAATTCAATACAATTACTCTTTTTAAATTACTTCAATTTTTCATACTTAATAACTTGCTCAGCGTGATCCCAAGTTTGAACACTTGGGCAGATGAGGCTTGACAGCTGGAAAGAGCAGCTCTTCTAGGAGAGACAATTCCAAAATCAAACAACTGCCTGGACCTATATAAGTCAAATTTAAACCTAAAATATTAAATATCTCAAATTTCCAAATATTCACATTAGTACATTTAGAAAACTCTCTTTTGTTGAAGTCATTTGCAATAAAAATGCTGAATAGCTTTATATAAAGTTCTTCTATGACCCCAAGATAAAGAAAGTGTTTATATAAATTAAAGTTCTTGTTTTACCCCAGGATATTGAAAGTATTTATATAAATTAAAATTCTTGTTGAACCCCAAGATATTAAAAGTGTTTATATAAATTAAAGTTCTTGTTTTACCCTAGGATATTGAAAGTATTTAAAAAAAATTAAAATTCTTGTTGAACCCCAAGATATTAAGTGTTTATATAAATTAAACTTCTTGTTTTACCCTGGGATATAGAAAGTGTTTATCTAATACTACTAAAACTCAACTTTGTTTACATGTTTGAATATTTATTTGTTTGTTTGTTTGGCTGATCGAGTATTGTGATATGTTCTACTCTATCTGGAGAGCTGTAAAATAGTATGTAGGTAGAGAATAATTTTTTAATGCAGACAGACTGTTAATCACAAATTTATTTAAAGACGTTAATTAATTTATTGATTTATTCATAGGTATATTAACCACAATTTTTTTTTAAAGATTTGAAAAGCCACTAGACTCGACGGAAACAGTGACGTCACATGATGTGTTTATTTTTTTACATCGATAATGGCGGCCTATCGAAGAAGATTGTGTTCCCATTCCAATGTTTAACGCGTTCTAAAGCTAATTTTCTGTCGGCTTTAACTTTAACAATACGTCCGTTTGCTGTATTTATTACGTTCCAACACTTATATCAATTTTAAACTGTCTTTTTCATTTAGTTTTACGATAAATTTCTCTAGATCTAAAGATCAGCTGTCGAAGGAAAGTTATGAATCTAGCCTAGATCTAGATCTAGAATCTAGATCTAGCCTAGATCTAGGTCACTAGACTCAATGTAAATTCTAGATCTAGACTTAATGTAAATTCTACATCTAGAATCTATTTCAGGCCTTAATACATCTAGAATCTATTTCAGGCCTTAATTCATCTAGAATCTATTTCAGGCCTTAATTATTTTATATAAATCTTTGTTTGGCTAATTTAAGATAAAATTTAATTTGAAAGTTACTACTACTAGACTTAGATCTAGATCTATGCGCGTAAATCAAGTTGCATAAGGAGACTCAAAGTATAGTATAAAAATTCATTTGTGACGTCACGAGTAAATAGCTAAGTTGGTAGTGTAGCCGGCTCTCATGCGGGTGGCACAGGTTCTAGACCAATATGTCAATGATATTTTTTTTTCAATTTTTTTTTTTTTTTAGATGTGAATGATAAAGTTGCCTATCTGAACTTGGCAGGACACAGGGCAGGTGAAGTAGAGTTCATCTGTTTCTTTGTCCTAAGCATATGAAAGGATAGTGTGGTCAGAGACATATGTTGGGGCGCCAAAATGGTTTGGAAAAATAAATCAAAAGTTTGAGTGGGGGAGGGGGGGTGCACATCAAAAGTTTGAGGGGAGGGGGGGGGTTGCAAATCGAAATGTTGCGGGGGGGGGGGGGGGGTTCAAATCGAAAAGTTTGTCCCCGGGGCGCCGGGAAGGGTCGCTATGCCTCTGAGTGACAGACGTGATGTTTTTTGATGGATGACCCCCGAAACCCACAGTTATCCAACGGATGACGGGTATTCTAGTATAAATTAAAATTCTTGTTTAACCCCAAGATATTAAGTGTTTATATAAATTAAAATTCTTGTTTTACCCTAGGATATTGAAAGTGGACCAATGCAACACTGGAAAACACAGGCTGCTCCTGAATTAGCTGTGCGATATTGGAAGCTCAAGGTAAATTCATTTCTTCTCACAACTGTAAGCTGGAGACTTTGCTATTCAGTTTATTAAACAGCAGTGAAAATAAAAATTTAACTTACATTTACACTGAATATTTAAGAACTACTTGCACAATAAGTTACCTTACCCAATCAGTAGTTTGTTCTCACTTTTTGTATTTTAGCTAAACAGTAAATTACATTCTACAAATATCAATATAAAATATATCATAAAATTGAAACTCAAACTATTTTTTTTCAAATTGCAGCCAGATGCTACAATGAAAGACGTAATTTTGGCCATACGAGCTGATGAGGCTCACCATCGTGTTGTGAACCACAGTCTGGCTTCACTCAAGAAAGATGAATTCAATCCATACAAACCTGGCCACTAATACAGTCTATTTTTAAAGCCTTTATTCATGACAATTTGCCAGATGTTGAATTGTGAGAAAAATTAGTATTTTTTTTTATATTTAATACTATTTTCCTTTGTTCAGCAATATTTAATACTATTTTCCTTTGTTCAGCAAATTTAGCTTTAACTTTTTACAGCAAATTTACTGTAGGCCTTCTTACAAAACAACTGTTGGTTTTTTAAACAACTGTTGGCTTTTGAACAAAATTTTGAACTTCAGTGAAGAAAAGTCTCAGTCATTTCCTTGATAATTGTATCTTTATGTGGAGTAACAAAAAGGAAATTGACTGAACTCAACACAGTTGTAGAGAAATGTCTCTAAAATTTGGAGGGCTACCTTTCTCTATGCTAAATATAAGCAACTGTTGGATTTGTCTGTGTCAGATGGCTTTAAACAAATCAATTGCCCATGTACAAAATGTGTTGAAACTAACATCAAAATAAACCGGGAGTGATATCCCCTAAACTTTCTCGAATATTCTTATATAAAACAACAGGGGATGGGAACTCGGGATATAGATCTAGTTATGATTTTTAATCCATTTTAAATACTTAAACTTTTTAAAATAGAATAGAATCTCATAGAAAAAAGTATTGCGCACCAAGCGAACGCCGAATAAAGATGTTCATAATGGTGCGCAATATTATTAGTACTTTATAAATTTAGATGCGTTTTTGAGAAATCGGAAATAGCGTAAATTAGTACTTCCCGTCAACGGAAATTACTCAAAATTTAACAGAAGGTAGAGAATTAGATCTTTTACTTACAGGTGAAATTTCATTCCTCTATCTGAAATAGTACTTAAGTTATAGGCTTTTGAAAAATTCAAAGTAGAAAAAGTACCACTTCCGGTTATCGGAAATCGCTCAAAAGTTGATACGGATCTACGATTTTGATAAAATACTTATATATGAAATTTCATCAACCTAGCTGTAACGGTACTCAAGTTATCGTGTTTACACACACAGACACACAGACATACGGACAAGATTACAAAATTATGTTTTTCCGTATCAGTGAGGTGTAAAACGTCGAGATTTGTAAAAATCTCGATTTTTTTTTTTTTTGCACGATTACAATACTTTCTCTATACTACGTATATACGAGAAAGTAAAAATTGTGTTTGTTCTGCATTTAACATTTTACCACATTCATTCCAGTGTTGATTATGTGTACAGTTTTTGTTGAACAAAAATCATAAGCAAACTATACAGTTGTAAACTAGTTTAAAATCATGTAAATAATTATGAGTAATCACATAGGCCTATGTATCTGTTTCGCTAACAAGTTTTTATTTTAGCACTATAGTGATTTAATACTTGATTTTTTTTTAGCTAAAAGACTTTGCATCACCAAACATCAGGGTAAACACATTTTCGATTACTGAAATACCAGAGCAGATATTTTTATTTAATAAAATAATTTTTTCTTGAGCTCCAGCAGAATTTTCTTGAGAACCTCAACTGTACAGAGTGACAGGTGCCTACAAGTTTCTTAATGAGTGGGCCCTCATTGTAATCATCTAAAGACTAACTTACTTTTTTCTTCATGCATAGCTTTTTTTTTTCTAGCTGAATGAATGTGTTGCCTGCAGTAAAGCAAGTCATGTAAATATTTCAAGCTTAAATTTGTGTTTTGTAGCTTGGTAATGCTCTCATTAAGTGACCCTGACATTTCTTGGTTTTGTCTCAACGGTCCTGTAAAATTGACAATCAAATGAGAGGCTGCTTACTCTTAGGGTTATGCATAATTATTATTGTGTGGCTTTGTAGTATTTTATTTATTTTTTTCTCATACCCTTACATTGTTAATGAAAATAAATGTGTTGACCAGAGAATAGTTAAAGTCTTGACTTTCGTAGTATAATAACTTTTGATTGAGATAGCTCAAAAAATGATCAATTAAAAAATCTATTCTAGAAAAAAAATCTCTTACTTAAACTACGCAAGATGGAGTATTTACTAGCCAATTGCTATGCTATGATTTTTACTCAGATTAAAATATCTGACTTTCTCTTGATATTAATTTCTCCACAGGTGTTTGATACACCATCAACTGATATTATTGATTGAAACTTATGTCATACCTGTAAATAATGTGTTTATAATGTTTTGGTACTCCTAGATATGCCAGCTGCACAAATACATGTGGCCCATTTATCAACATTTGTATAGTAGGTGTAAATGTCTTTAGATGCATTCAATCAACTAAATGATAATTATTTTTAGCTGTTTTGCTTTGTTAAATAATAAATAACTTAAAAAAATAACTTTGTCATTGTTTAAATGGTACTAAAATTACTATGTATTGCTATTAGATTCAGGCTTTTAAGAACCAATAAATTTTATTGAACTATAGATATCACAGAATGCATTTTATATTACATACATAAATTTTTTTAAACTACAGAACGAAACGTTTTGTACTTTTGATTATAAAAGACTTGTAAATACAAAACTTCATATAGATCATCTGGCCAAAGACAAAAAAAAATGCAAATGAATTGACAAGTTTATCCAGGTCACCCCCTACTGGAAGTGACCATTAGAAAAAACAAATTATCACAGAAATTGGTGACTTAAAACTTAAAAACTATGTACATTGCAAGCATCCAATTTTTAAAGATCATTCTGGGCAGTTGAGTCAAAGCAAGCCAGCCACTGGCCTTTCCCAACACAATAGTTATCACCTAAACAATTATTACTAATCATATATTTCTTAGATTGAATCAGCATTTTTAAAATTTTAAATCTTTTTATATCCGTAGAACAAACATATAATGGGTCATCCCTTAATGATATCCACATGGGTCATACCCTAATGATATCCACTAAAAGCCCACCCCATGTGGATGACCCATGCAACTAAGGGTGTGCAGATCACTTGTTCAATATCTTCACACTCAAGTTTTAAAGAAGTCAATGTTGAAGTCACTTGGTGCAGTCATTTAAGGTTTGAGTGGTGAAGGTTAAATGATGAAGCCTTCAGTGGCCCCACTAGAGTGGATCTGTTTGTTCTGTAAAGTTTTGTCTTTTAGCTTGGCCTGCAGGAGAATGTGCTCAACAACCCCAGCCCTGATGTCCATCTGTGTACATTCCTTTTTAATGGTCAGTATAGCCTGCTTGATCTTGGCCAGGATAGCTGTGTAGGATAGAAAATTACTGGTTAAACATTTCTGAACTGTTAATAAACATTAATATTCTGTTGAGAGTTAATAAAATTGTACATGATGTAATAATTGTGAAAAAATATCTAGCTACTAAACCAAGTAAATCTTACATCCATCTGTCATGCTGGTTCCTTTCTCATCCATTTCCTGTTTGATTTTCTCCAGTTCCTCTGTGATCTAAAGTACAATAATAAACAGTCAGAGATCATACATCTTCTATGCTGAAAAATATCTTTTTGATGTCTTAAAAGTAATCACCTATAGTCAAAATATCTTACATTTTTATAGCTGCTATATTCAGATGTTAAAATTTCTTAACAAAGTATGGGTTAAACTATAAAATTGTTTAACAGTGTAATGTTTTTAACTGAACTTAATAAGAGTCAGATCTTTAAAATGTATCAGGTCCTAAACATTTTACCTCAGCCAGTGTCCTTGACCTCTCTGTAACCCCACCGCTGGCCTGCCTGTACTTCTCCTTGGTCTCAGCTAGAGCGTCCTGGGCTTGCCTGAAGTCCACCAGCAGGTGCTCCAGCTGGGAGTTGATGTACTTCTCTCTGCTGCTGATCTTCTCCAGAGTCTTGGAGATCTCCTCCTGCAGCTTGTCCAGGTGGACTTTGCTCTCATTCAGTGAGGACTTGATGCCGTCATGGTGCTGGTGCATTTGTTCCAAGTGCACACGCCAGTCCTGCAGACATTGCATCAAACATTCTGTCAGACCACACACTGATGAGGTTCAGTAGAGATGAAGGGAGACTGGGTTAATACTGCCCTACACCATACACTGATGAGGTTCAGTGAGAGATGAAGGGAGACTGAGTTAATACTGCCCTAGACCATACACTGATGAGGTTCAGTGAGAGATGAAGGGAGACTGAGTTAATACTGCCCTAGACCATACACTGATGAGGTTCAGTGAGAGATGAAGGGAGACTAGTTAATACTGCCCTACACCATACACTGATGAGGTTCAGTGAGAGATGAAGGGAGACTGAGTTAATACTGCCCTAGACCATACACTGATGAGGTTCAGTGAGAGATGAAGGGAGACTGAGTTAATACTGCCCTAGACCATACACTGATGAGGTTCAGTGAGAGATGAAGGGAGACTAGTTAATACTGCCCTACACCATACACTGATGAGGTTCAGTGAGAGATGTAGGGAGACTGAGTTAATACTGCCCTAGACCATACACTGATGAGGTTCAGTGAGAGATGAAGGGAGACTGAGTTAATACTACCCTAGACCATACACTGATGAGGTTCAGTGAGAGATGAAGGGAGACTGAGTTAATACTGCCCTAGACCATACACTGATGAGGTTCAGTGAGAGATGAAGGGAGACTGAGTTAATACTGCCCTAGACCATACACTGATGAGGTTAAGTGGTAAAGATGAAGGGAGACTGAGTTAATACTGCCCCAAAGATCTATGACACCCTGCCAGCATCAGATCAATGACCAAACAATGGCAATAATAAAACATGAGATCAATGACTTTCATTACAACAACCAATGTAAACATTTGAGTACCTTGTTGTCTGTCCTTATGGTGACTTTGAGCTGTGGCATAACTCTCTCTACTTCTAGTTTCCAGTCTGCTGCATCTGTAGTAGATTCCAGAATCTCCTCCGGTTTACTTGACTCAAAAGTTTGCTGACAAAACAAAAGACATGAGTTTAGGGCCAGGAGCACCACACAAGTGCAGATAGCCATTGTGATAAAGAAAGTGAGATAGCTGGGCATAGCGTACCCATAGCATAACATACCACAGATCTGGTACACAATAACATAAAGCATAAGTGGGTAATTTGAAATTAATGTGAATGACAAAGATAAAATGCTGCTACAGTAACTAACTTTATTCTGATTCAACATTTTCATGCCCTCAAGATCTAAGAGTGGTTCGTCTTCGTCTGCCTCCTCAACATCAGAACTCTGAAAATGAAATAAAAATGTCTGAACTTGATGCAAGGGTTAAAAGAAAAGTTCAAGCTCCAACAGGTGAAATGTTGATAAAAACAAGAAGAAAATGAATGCTCAAACTTACTCCAAGAACCATAGACTTTTCAATTTCATTGAGATTTAATTCAGAATCATCCTCTACTATGTTTTCTTCTTCTGTTTCCTCTTCAGGGTATGTTGGTCTATGAAATATATTTTTGTTGTAATTTTTTTATGTCTTTTAAATGTAAATGAAAGTACAAAGTAGAAATATTTTGTATCCACATTATGTACAAACCAACAAACTCACCTCTGCCACACAAAGTTTGTACACTTTGCATCCACATTATGTACAAACCAACCAACTCACCTCTTCCACACAGTTTGTACACTTTGTATCCACATTATGTACAAACCAACCAACTCACCTCTTCCACACAAAGTTTGTACACTTTGTATCCACATTATGTACAAACCAACCAACTCACCTCTTCCACACAAAGTTTGTACACTTTGTGTCCACATTATGTACAAACCAACTCACCTCTTCCACACAAATTTGTACACTTTGTATCCACATTATGTACAAACCAACCAACTCACCTCTTCCACACAAAGTTTGTACACGTTGTGTCCACATTATGTACAAACCAACCAACTCACCTCTTCCACACAAAGTTTGTACACTTTGTATCCACATTATGTACAAACCAACAAACTCACCTCTTCCACACAAAGTTTGTACACTTTGTATCCACATTATGTACAAACCAACAAACTCACCTCTTCCAGACAAAGTTTGTACACTTTGTATCCACATTATGTACAAACCAACCAACTCACCTCTTCCACACAAAGTTTGTACACTTTGTATCCACATTATTTACAAACCAACCAACTCACCTCTTCCACACAAAGTTTGTACACTTTGTATCCACATTATGTACAAACCAACCAACTCACCTCTTCCACACAAAGTTTGTACACTTTGTATCCACATTATGTACAAACCAACCAACTCACCTCTTCCACACAAAGTTTGTACTCTTGAGGGCCTCATCTGCTAGTCTGTCCAATATGTAGATGCAATGTTCACCCCAGCCTTGCTTTAATTTGGAGGGTGGAAAATCTACTGTGTGCCCCTAAGTTAAAAAAAGAAAATCAGCTTCAAATATAGAGAACATTTAACATTTTCAGTGCTTTATTCTGCCAAGTTTCATGTTCTAAAATAAATGGAATCTCTTACATATTTCCTAAGTTCATCCAATATACTGGAAATTGTTGCATTTGGGTCATCATACTGTTAGGGAAAAAAATTTAACAAACAAATAAATGAATAATAAACAATAATAAAAGAAAAATTTGGTATCATTTAAAATAAAAATAGCATGTGTAAAATAATGTAATGTATAATGAGAAAATTTATTTTAAGTTAATTACAGTAAATTTGCCAAAAATAAAAAATTGGTGACATCTAAAATTGACATTATTGCCAAAAATTATTTTTTGCTTAAGTAACAAATAAAATAGTTGATAAACAACAAACCTCCTGAGGCTGATCAAAAGGTCGCCCTGCTTTGTTCAACAGCCACGCAGCTAGTGATGTAAACATGTAGAACTGTTCACCAGGATTTGTCTGGATAGCAAAGTAATGTCTGGAAAAAAAACAAGAAGAAACCACACTCATAACTGTCTGAATAAATGACTAAAAACAACAATGTTCTAGTACAAATCATAAATAAAATACCTTGTTATAGGTTTGAGATTCATTTTCTTTGAGAAATCTTTTTCATAGTCAAGAAGTCGAAGTTTTTCTAGCAGTTCTTCCATAATAACAAAAGGCATGTATATTAAACCTGGGCCACCATCCTCCACCTCGTCACCTCCTCCCCTTCTCTTGTCCTCAGACATGGCAACAATGGATTTGATCTGACAAATACTGCTCCAGATGTGAACAAGTAACAATCGTTAAAGTAGTGAGTTTTAAAATACAGGACATTTTTAAACATATTATTATCAATAGGCCTACAATTTTTTATATTACATACTATACTATAGGCCTAGATAGATTTTAATGTCTATGCTAATTCTAATACTAGGCTTATAATTTATAATCGTATAGTTAGATATTAGAATCTACTGAAATGGTAAAAAGTAGTAGTAAAATTGTATTTATTTTTTTCTGAAAGTTGTAGGCCTAATAAGTAATTTTTTTAAACAACCAGCTCAATGAACCAATACAATAGAAGTGGCTAATCCAGAAAACTTTAAAATAACTTTTTTAGTTTAAGGCTACATTTCTATTTATTTTCATCAAGCCTAAGTTATAACCTGAAGTTTCACTTTTGTGGTAAACTATATACCCTAACCGCCAGTAACCGCCCTAACCCTTTTTTTTTAAATTTTGCTTGGTTACGGAAAATACCAAAAACTGTGCCAAAAACATCAAATTAGAGTACAGACAATTCAATGGAGACAAGCGAGTTGACGAGATTCCTTCCATAGTGTTGTTGTCATGGAATAAAAACGTGCTTTTTAGATTTAGACCGTAAAAAAAAATAAAAAATAAAAACTTAAGCCTAAAATTAATTTAGAAATTTTATATTTTTAGAATAAATGCTATAAAAGTTGCAAATCCAGAGAACTAGAAAATAATTTGTTGAGTTTAAGGCTACATTTCTATTTATTTTCATCAAGCCTAAGTTATAACCGGATGTTTCACTTTCGTAAGACAAATATTGATTGGCTGTACAGTAACTTAGTGATCGATAACTATTTGTTTACAAAACTTTGCAGATCAAGTTTTTAAATAACAATGCAAATTAAAAACCCCATGACCTAGTTTTCTATTTTTAGCTTACAATGTGTACAATAAAATTTTTGTCGGCCTATCCAATAGCAGGATGCCATTGTTTATGTCGCCATTACACGTGAAAACCAAATTGTTTTTGCTTTTTTTTAAATTTTTATTTAGTTACCGAAAATATTAAAAACATCAAATACGTCCAATCTTTAGTAAAGTCCGAAAAAAACCAGACAGACAGGATTTTATAACCATATTAATTGTAACTACGCCGTGCAAGAATTTTAAATTAATTTATACACCTCTCAAATACCTTTGAGACTTTTCTCGCTTGTGTCCATTCGATTACTAAGATTAGGATTATGTAATATCATGTAGGCCTATTACTTTTATTAATAACATCGTACTTAATTTTTTAAATATTTAATGAGCTTTTCGAATAATGGCGAGAGTACGGACTAGATCTATTTATTTATTGATTCATTTTGACATTTTTTGAGATGGGACATTTGGGGTCCCAATCAATGCCCGGTCGGGTTGGAAAAGAACTTAAGGAAGTTTTAATTTTAACTTTAGTTTTTAGGCTTACATATCCAAACCAAATCACTTAGTTAATTTTTTAAGTATAGATCTAGGTCTACTAAAGAACAAACATTAATTAGAGATCTAGATCTCGTCCTTTTAAGCCTTATTACTCAATAAGTAAATTTATACCAGTTTTTAAACTCTGTCTTGTTAAATGTTGACTGGAATGTTTTCTTTGCGCAAGTTATGAATCTAGATCTATATCCGGTGAAGGGAGCCATTAAGTTAAATTGTGACAAATATTTTTCGATTATTTTATTTATTAAATAAAAAATCAATGTATGCATGTTATTTATCATTAGTTATTCAAGTAAAATAAATTATGTTTTTTAAATTCATAAAACTTTGATGTAAATATTGTAAAGTTATAAATCTTTAGAATTTTTGCAATGTTTAGTCCCTTAAGTAACCAATGTAATCAACATGGCAGGAGTACCAAAGGTAAATTTACCAAATATGCCATCCGAGAGCGAAATTACAAGTTTTCTTTCGAAGGTTGATGAAATAGGTATTTATTTTATTTTACTTAGATCTAAATTCTTCATTTGTAACAGTTAGATCTTGATCTAGCCTAGTAAAAATAAAATTATTTGATCTACCTATTAAAAATAGTAAAAAAGGGCTGGAACAATTCAATTAGTATTACTTAAAATTAGGGTAATCTATCGTTTTGGGTACGTAAAATCGCCCGCGACTAGTAATGTGAAAAACAGGTGACTCCTTACATTTTAATAATTATTTCACATTTTGAGGAGGATTTATGTTTTGAAAAATACAAAAATGTTTCCTTGTTTCATTTATGTACCTGTTTTTAAACAATTGAATTAAAACTTTTCAGTAATAAATGAACACCAGCGATGTTTCCAACAGATGCAACCATGCTCATTTACTATAGCAGCCATCTTGTTAAAGTTTTATTTTTATAGACTTATAGCGCGAGATTCAGGCGGAAGTCACTCTATTTTACAAATGGCTGCTGTTTATATAGCAAATCTTGCTTGCAGACACTGATGTTTAAAGTTAATTTCTGGCCTATATTAATATATTTAGCCATTGATTTAGGTTTATTATTCATTTATCTATAATATTTGACACAAACATATCACAATATACTTCTATTACAGCCTTGACAATGAGGTAACGTTTTCGTACATTAATAGCCGCGGGCGATTTTACGTACCCAAAGCGATAGATTACCAAAATTAGTATCAATTACAAATCATTTGTCAAATGTTTAGATAGAAGTTAGAAGTATAGAAGTGGAGTAATACTCTTAAAAATAATTATTAGTACAAAATGATTAGCAAAACGGTATTTAGAATGCAACTAAAATCAATCTATCCAAATTGTAAGCTTTAATATGGCATCAAATAAAATATGGTTTACAGTACATCCTGTGGATTCCAGAAGTGAGAATGGTATGACAGACTACATTACTGTTTTACTGTTTTTTACTGTTATACTTTATACCATTCCTGAATAATAACCGATGCTATACTATTGTGAGATTACCGATCTAACTACTTACTCCTACTGCAATATACAAAGTTCATAGATGAAAGCTTTAGTAGGGCCTACTTCAAAGCTATCATTGCTAGCAGGATTAATACAATAATTAACAGGATTAATACTATAATTCGGCTGATGATGGCAATGATTAGTCCACTATGCCCAAGCAAGAGAATCAATTTATAATTTGCTTATAAAGAAATACTTTAAGTAAGAAGTTTGCAGTATCTTCCGGCCTAGGCCTACATAAATATTAATCTTAAAAAAACAATTTTTTTGTTAAGATTAGAAATAAATTGTAAGTGTGCATACATTTTTTTTTCCTTTCTAAAAAAAGAAACAGTTATTAAAGGCCTTAACTCTGAAGATGATCAAAAGAGAGAGCTGTACATGTCAAAAGCAGATGAAATGATTGCTAAGATATCAGAAAAGAAAAAGCTGGAGTATGAAGATAATGATGAAGAAGATAAAACCTTACCCAAAACTAAAACAGGTAGAATCACATTTTCTTTTTTGTTGCTTATATAGATCTATATATATAATACCAGAGGGATAAAGTGGCCATTAAAATTGTCCTTGAGTAGTTTTTCAGAAGTCACTACCACATTTTTTTTTATCTAGATCTTACATACAATATCTTTTTGGATGTACCAGAGGGGCAAAAATAATGGGATATAATTACTAACTATTTTTTGCAATAAATGTTTTGAACTAGAGTTTTATCCTTATTTAGAATATATTATTATTCCTTATTTTTGCATTGTATACTTACTACTATTATTTTCACTGATTAGTTGTTTTTTTTAATATATGTAAATATATATGGGAAAACATGTATATAAAATTAAGCATGTTGTTATCTTTGTTGTATGTTACAATCATATTAATTGCTTTATTATTTTCTGTTGTTTTTTTTTATAAAGTTATTTGAAAATCATAAGTATAGTATAATTGTTTTTGTTCCAAGGTTTCAATAAGACCTCAATCAATAAAGATGCTTACAAAAATGATAAACAGATGTCACCACCATCAGGACCAGTTTTAACAGAAAATATGGATCAAAGTAATTATCTGAGTTTTGCGTTCAGATCAAAACACAGCTAATATAAACAATCATATGTTATGAACACATTTAGTGTCACCCATTTTGTGTTCACATCAAAACACAGCTAATATAAAACAATCATATGTCATGATCACATACTCCATTTAGTGGCATCCCCTTTTTTTTATGTAGAAGCCTTTATGGCAGCAATGGAAGCAGATGCCAAAGAAAGGTCAGAAAGAAAAAAAGAAAGAGAAAAGATAGCCAATAAGCTGAAAGATCAAGGGAATACAGAATTTAAACAAGGAAATTACAAAGAAGCACTTCGATTTTATGATGAGGTTTGAATATTTGTCTTGCATAATGTCAATGTTAAGGCTTGAAGAAAGTTAATTAAAAGAAGATTAGATTTAGGCAACTAAGTTAGTTACACTTTTGGAGCAGATGAAGTAGAGTTCTGTGACCTTGGCTTATAGAGGGATAGTGTGGTAAGGACTAAGCCCAACTACCTTTACTTCCCCTAACCTACGTAGACTCAGGGACTCCCTACAGACTGGATACATAGGATCCACACTCAAGACTTTTGGGCCAGCATTCCTGTGCTCTAATGCCAGACCATGCCATTCTATGGCAAGCCACAGCTCTCAATGACATGAGGTGGCTTAGTTTTAAAAAATGTTATATTAGAAAAAAATGTACATTTAACAAAGTAAAGTAAAATTCAAACAGAAACTTTTGCATAATTAATGTATAAAATGGCTCTTTGACTTAGAAAGGTTGCTTACCTCTGTCCTAGGAAAAATAATCTCAGCATTAGTTTTATATTAACAGCAGGGTACTCTGTCACTGTCATAATTAAAATCTTGTCTCTGTCATAGTTTAAGTTTTGTCACTGTCATAATTAAAGTCTTGTCTCTTGTCATAGTTTAAGTTTTGTCACTGTCATAATTAAAGTCTTGTCTCTTGTCATAGTTTAAGTTTTGTCACTGTCATAATTAAAGTCTTGTCTCTTGTCATAGTTTAAGTTTTGTCACTGTCATAATTAAAGTCTTGTCTCTGTCAGGCAATCAGTGAGGTCCGTGACAGCTCCGTGCTGTATACCAACCGAGCTCAAGCAAGAATCAAATTAGGCATGTTCACGGAGGCATTGAAGGATTGTGATTTAGCACTAAGGGTAAATCTGATACAGTTTCTCTTTATCAAAATATCTTGTGTGATATTTATTACAACATGTAAACTGCATGAGTTAAGAAAACTAACTGGCAGATGGGCAGGTAAAGTAGAGTCATGAGGTTTTACCATGAGTTCAGTCTTATTGGTTTTTACCTCTAGTTTAAAGTCATATATATCCATTGAGTTATTGAAAATTATATAAATAACTATCATGAACAAATTTCTGAATTTAGTTTTAAAATTAAAAGTATCTTATGAGTTAATGACTCCTTGTTTACATTCAGTTGACATTAATAACGAGAAAAATGGCCCGTTGAGGAAGGATACACCGGGCGCTAGGTTGATAGTGCTGTCTCTTTTCTCTAAACTAAAACCAACCCACCCCCCCCACACACACACACCACCCCCCCCACCCCCCACCCCACACCCACCCCACACACCAGCCCCCCCCCCCACCCCACCCACCGCCACCCACCCCCACCCCACCCCCACCCCCCAAAAAACATGTCTACCGTCCCATTCAACGAAATATAATTATATACTTTTTCCAGTGTCCGCCCCCTCCCCGAAAATTTTACCCCCGCCCCCGAAAATTTCAAGTACCCCCACCGCTCTCCGGGGAGGAAAAAGTCTGAAAGAAACACTGGTGTCGCGCTTAGCCACTACGCGAAGAATTGCATTAAAGAAATTGCGAGAAAACCACTTTTTAGATTAGACACATTAATTAGGCGGTAATTTTATTATAGAGTATCGATGAGGAAACCACCGCCCCCCCACCCCCCACTCACACCTCCCCCCCCCACCCCCCCCCCCCCCACCCCCACTCCCAAAAAAAAACATGTCTACCGTCCCATTCAACGAAATATAATTATATACTTTTTCCAGTGTCCGCCCCCCCTCCCCGTAAATTCTAACCCCGCCCTCGAAAATTTCAATTACCCCCACCCCTCTCCGGGGAGGAAAAAGTCTGAAAGAAACACTGGTGTCGCGCTTAGCCACTACCCGAAGAATTGCATTAAAGAAATTGCAAGAAAACCACTTTTTAGATTAGACACATTAATTAGGCGGTAATTTTATTATAGAGTATCGATGAAGAAATTTCTTTTGAGTTGGGGAGGGGGGGGGGCTCAGACGTTCTTACGCGGGGGGTGGGGCTTCGCCCCTACCCGAAGAATTGTATGCAAGAAACTCTTCACGCAAACCATTAAGATTAGACAACATTTCCTTTTTATTCAATGTTAACGCGAAAATCAATGACGTCATATAACTGTGAGCACTCTCTGGGTTTGAGATTATTTTCTACTCTGTGCTAAATGTGTCGACGTCATACTTCGTTTTTCGAATTACTGTGCATGTTTTTAAATTGCTTGTCTTTTCTCTAGAGCGTTCTTGTCAGACAGATAGATAGATAGATAGAGAGACAGCGAAACTATTATTATAGACAAGGCGTACAGTGTTTATATAAAACAACAAACAACAATGAATCAATGACGTCATATTACTGTGTGCACTCTCCGGCTGGAGATTATTTTCTACTCTAATAAATGTGACCGCGTCATACTTCGTTTTTCGAATTACTGTGCATGTTTTTATTTTGCTTGTGTTTTCTCTACAGCGTTCTTGTCAGATAGATAGATAGATAGATAGACAGACAGCGAAACTATTAGTATTAATAATCAACACTTTTTTTTTGTTTCTTTATTTTAAATTTTTTCAGTTATGGCCAAATTGTTTAAAAGCATATGTTCACCAAGGACATGCCTATCTGGCACTCAAAGATTACGACAAGGCCAGAGAAAGTTATAAACAAATTTTAACATTTGATAAACAGAAGGAGACTATGGTCAATGGTACGTAGATCTATGTAGGCTAAAACACTTGCCAACTACATAATGTTACTCTTTATTTTTTACCATGCCTTTCAAAGCTGTTTTTCCTTGTAACGGGAACCTATGTATTGATTGTTTATATTAATTCTGAACATTGTTTTCAATGTAGAATATCTAGCTAACGTGAATAGAACAGAGGAAGCCAGTTCTCACGAGGCTAAGGCAGCCAAATTGTTTGAGGAAGGCAATGATACAGCCAAAAATATTGTTGACCTTTTGGCCAGCGTGAACAAAAAAGACCAACTTCCCTTGTATTACTCAGGAGGATTTAGAGTGATTTCCCATCTTCTTGTTGACAGTAAGTGGTAATATATTGATGCATCTTAAGCCTTAAAATTACTGTATAAATGGCAATATAATGCTGCATCTTAAGCCTTAAATTGACATGTATAAGTAGCAATATATTGCTACATCTTAAGCCTTATATTACCTAGGCCTATAGATGTATATGGTAATTTTTACTACTGTCTAGTATTTTGATTTTCCCAATGAATTTGTCTGAATAAAAACTATTTCTTGTCTAGTTGACGCTCACAACAACTATTTTTTTGTCTAGTTGATGCTCACAACAACTATTTTTTTGTCTAGTTGATGCTCACAACAACTATTTTTTTGTCTAGTTGATGCTCACAACAACTATTTTTTTGTCTAGTTGATGCTCACAACAACTATTTTTTTGTCTAGTTGATGCTCAGACTTTGTTTCGTACCCACAATGGCCTACAACTGCCAGTTGAGCATCCCCTCCTGTACAGGTACTCAGTTTTTTTTAAACACATTCAAATAGAGCAGTAGAATTAGGTAATAAAATCATGTGTTTTGTGTCAATCATCTATGGAGCTTTACTCCTAATGTTTAGCACATTTAAGTAAAGCAGTAGAATCAGATAATACAATCATGTGTTTTGTGTCAATCATCTATGGAGCTTTACTCCTAATGTTTAGCACATTCAAATAGAGCAGTAGAATCAGATAATACAAGCATGTGTTTTGTGTCAATCATCTATGGAGCTCCACTCCTAATGTTTAGAAAATTAAGGCAGTTGTTGTTTGATTTTTAGAGTTTTCTCGCCTAGATTGGTTGCTGTCCCTAGCTCATGAACCTCATCTGCCCAACTGGAAGTTAGGGTTGGCAGTTGTGCGCTGTCTTACCAGACCACACTCCTACATTAAATAACCTTAAATGGTTTAAATTTTTTGTGTCAATGAGCAGGACTTTAATAAAAGATTATCTTAATTGTCTGTGTGTCAATGAACATTACGTTAATCAAAGATTATCTTAATTGTCTGTGTGTCGCAGGACTTTATGCTCAAGCCTCCAGAGTTTGTCCATGGCTGACAGAGACCTGATCACAGCAGCCTTAGAGATGCTGACTGCTGCCTGTAAAAACAATGGTAGGAAAGTTTCTTCATGTTGTCAGCATAGTACGACATTTGAAGTCAATTTGGCAGATTTAATATTTGTTATATTATTTAACAATTCATAGAATACATGTTGCAGCACCAATGTAAAATTTTATGAATGACGTAGACAACTACTCTATGTGCATAACTTTTTAACAATATTTTATTTCTCAATGGGAAAGAACTGGTTTAAAAACATGAAAAGTCTGGCGAACTTAGGTATTTTCTTTGCACATGTTTTTTATGACTTAAATAATGATTCGGTTCACCATTTCAAGAATTACCAGCAATGTTAACAAAACTGTACACAATTTAGCAGAGATTTCGACCTAAGTTTTGCTTCTAGTAATTTTTTATAAAATGGTGTTTAATACTACTTTAACATATTTAAATGTTTATATTTGTTGACTAAGGTATGTATTTTATTCTGCTTGTTCCCCAGAAACCAACCAACAGCTTCTACTAAATCTTCCACAATTCCCAGACCAAATCACTGCCATCCTAGAGGTCAAGTTCAAAGGTCATGGACGACTTCTAAAAGCAAGTTGTCTGAACCTGCTCCATGAAATATCACTGACTGGCATTGGGAGAGCTGCCATTGTGGGCAAGTTCACTGCCAACAGGTAGCAGGAAAACTGAAGGCACTCAACATTTTTACCAGACCAAGCTTGTCTAAGCAATTTGCTAAACTATACAAAATTATTTTTTCATGTTAAAAAAAAAGTAAAGCACCCTGACAAACCTTACGGCACATGTGGCAAGTGAAGTAGAGTTCACCTATTTCAATTACCTCTGCCAATGAATGGATAGTATGTTCAGCACTATGCCCAGCTGCCTTTACTTTCCCTAGCATGAGCCAGGTATTCATCAAAGCTGCGTGAACTCAAGGACATCTTACTTACTTGAGCACAGACAAGGATCCAAACTCAAGACTTTCAAGTTTGCAGTTGAACGCTCTACCATATGACCACGCCATCCCATTTTTTAAAAATTGAGCTATGTCTGTGTTTGGGCATTGACCAGCCTGCGTTATATCCCTTAAATTTGACTCCACATACTCTTGTGGTTGTTAACACTACAAAAAATATGAAAGTCTATCCTTGAAAAGGTATAAACTTGTATTCAGTAAATTATCAATGCATGTTGTATAACCACCATTCAACTTCAGGCTAGTTCCTGCTCTACTGCCACTAATGTTGTATAACCACCATTCAACTTCAGGCTAGTTCCTGCGCTGCTGCCACTAATGATGAAAACATCTTCATATGAAAACATTGCAGCTGCTCTCCTAAACAACATAGCACTAGAGAAAAAGTGAGTGCAGCTAAAAGTCTCTTTATTCAAATAGGAAATTTTAAAATTCTTTTTGGTGAAGTTACATTATTTAAATTCCTTGGGATTGTTCAGATGATATTTGTAAATTATTGGCAAGAAAGATAAATAGTATTATGATGAGCATTGTTTTATATATTTCTTTATGCACTAAAATTTTGTGGATTTAGAGGTCTCTGTACATTTTTTTTTAATATGAAGGGCATCCTTGATAAATGAGAGTTAATGAACATTTTACTGAAATAGTCTGTTTAATCAGTAGATTACCACACAAGTTTATAAGGAGCAATTAAAATTTAATACATGTTAATTTGTTTCCAATATTAACTAGGTTAAAGGCTCTTCTTCGCGATAACATAGAAAATACAATTCTACCTGCATTTGAAAACTTTTTGGTTGGTAATTTTTTGTTTATCTTAGTCTTTTATATCAGGATTTTTATAACATATCAGAGGTAACAACATACAAGCTGTAGTTTATGTTTTAATTACAAGACATATTTTATAGATTAAATTAATGTAACTTTATATCACAAGTCAAAGCATTTCCCAATATTCCAACATATACTGACTCACAAATCTCAGATTCTCACAAAATTACCCCCACAGCTCATCAATATTCCCACACATAAACCCCACATTAATACCACCAATACTATTGTCACAGAACAACAACAGCACCACTCCCTCTGTTGCCCACACATCCCCACACACTCCCACACATTCCCACACATTCCCACACATAAGCCCCACAATAATGCCACCAATACTATTGCCACAGAACAACAACAGCACCACTCCCTCTGTTGCCCACACATCCCCACATTCCCACACTCTCCCACACATAAGCCCCACAATAATGCCACCAATACCATTGTCACAGAACAACAACATCACGACTCCCTCTGTTGCCCACACATTCCCACACATCCCCACACATTCCCACACTCTCCCACACATAAACCCCACAATAATGCCACCAATACTATTGCCACAGAACAACAACAGTACAACTCCCTCTGTTGCCCACACATTCCCACACATTCCCACACATAAATCCCACAATAATGCCACCAATACTATTGCCACAGAACAACAACAGCACGACTCCCTCTGTTGCCCACACATCCCCACACACTCCCACACATAAATCCCACAATAATGCCACCAATACTATTGCCACAGAACAACAACAGCACAACTCCCTCTGTTGCTAGTCTGGCAGCCTCCACTGCTACCAACTTGGCAGGGGACACAACTATCAGGAAAAAAATGGCCTCTAGACCCAGTCTCTGGCAAGCTGTTGGCAATCTCTTGGTAAGGTTTCTCAAATATACTCTGAAGGCTGAGTAGATTTTGTTCATTCAGTGTGGTCACTTTCTAGTGCTATGAAGGGGCTGAATTTTTAAAGTTTAATTAATAAAGCACATTTTATACATTAAGAAAATTGCTTTCATCAATTATTGTATTTTAAATGCAAAAATTGCTTTCATAAATGTTTTTTTTTTTTTTAAATATCCTATTCTGAGTGCTAAATAGATTTTTTTTTTCTAAAAGACTTTGATTTTAATTTTTTTATGGCTTGGGGGGGGGGGGAAGAGGGGAGAGAAACCAGCTCTAGTACTTATAGATATTCCTATATGTCACTGTATGATATACCCTTGAAAGAAAACCTACTAGAGAAATTTAGAATGATTGCGGATGTATTTCCAGGCAGCATACACAAGCTCACAGTTTGTCACTTCTGTTGAGTATCTCCTGGGTCTCCTGTTAAACCTGAGCACAAATGTGGACAGCTCGTCCTTGACCTATTTAAACACTGACCTCACAGCTACGTGCCTGACCATCATCACATCCACCCTGTCACCTGCGTCAGTGATGCGGTCACTCGCTGTCCTGGGTAACATCTTACCTCACTGTGAGCAGGCTGTCAACTTCCTGTGTCAGGAAAACAGAACTCTTGTCTTGTTAGACTGTATGAAGGTTTGTTTTCTCTTTAGACTGTATGAAGGTTTGTTTTCTCTTTAGACTGTATGAAGGTTTGTTTTCTCTTTAGACTGTATGAAGGTTTGTTTTATTTTTGGTCTTTAGACTGTATGAAGGGTTGTTTTATTTTTGGTCTTTAGACTGTATGAAGGGTTGTTTTAATTTTGGTCTTTAGACTTTATGAAGGTTTGTTTTATTTTGGTCTTTAGACTGTATGAAGGTTTGTTTTATTTTGGTCTTTAGACTGTATGAAGGTTTGTTTTATTTTAGTCTTTAGACTGTAGGCCCTATGAAGGTTTGTTTTATTTTGGTCTTTAGACTTTATGAAGGTTTGTTTTATTTTTGGTCTTTAGACTGTATGAAGGGTTGTTTTATTTTTGGTCTTTAGACTGTATGAAGGGTTGTTTTAATTTTGGTCTTTAGACTTTATGAAGGTTTGTTTTATTTTTGGTCTTTAGACTGTATGAAGGTTTTTTTCCTTTCTTATGGTCTTGCATTTAATTAGGGCAACACAGGTTAACTCTTAACTAGTCAAGATCTCGTTATTGAAGGCAGCTAATTAGCTTAAAAAATGCAAGGTTTGTGCACTATACAGTTGAACTAATGATTTTTTTATTTTGTAGAAACCAGATCGTGAGTACTTTTCACCCGCATTGAAATGTATTACTGCCCTTACTCAGAAGAATGAAAAAGCAAGGGAACTAATATCTGAAAACAAAGGTAGGATACCATGTTGTTGGCAGATATTTGTAAATATTTTAAACCCACCGAAAGAACAAAAAGTATTGTGGAAAGAAGTTGAAAGAGATTGTTTGAACTGCAGGTACGTCGCTGTTGCTGACATTGCTGAGTGGTGAGGATGAGGTTGTCATTGGAAACGCTGCCCTCTGTCTGTCACACCTCTGCCAGGTACCAAAAGTGTGCTCCAAGCTGACCAAGACAAACATCATACAGAAGCTGCTGGTGCTGGCCAGAGATGGCAGGAGGCCAGGTGTCCAGGCCAACTGTGCCATCTTGGTGGGGAAACTGGTGGCAGGGGACAGCAGGTGAGGGGTTAATGCCGGCAGGTGAGGGGTTAATGGTGGCAGGTGGGGGGGTTAATGGCAGCAGGTGAGGGGTTAATGTTGGCAGGTGGGGGGTTAAGTGTCCAGGCCAACTGTGCCATCTTGGTGGGGAAACTGGTGGCAGGGGACAGCAGGTGAGGGGTTAATGGTGGCAGGTGGGGGGTTAATGGTGGCAGGTGGGGGGTTAATGGTGGCAGTTGGAGGGTCAATGGTGGCAGGGGACAGCAGGTGAGGGGTTAATGGTGGCAGGTGGGGGAGGGGTTAATGGTGGCAGGTGGGGGGTTAATGGTGGCAGGGGACAGCAGGTGAGGGGTTAATGGTGGCAGGTGGGGGGTTAATGGTGGCAGGTGGGGGGGGGGGGGGGGGGGGTTAATGGTGGCAGGTTGGGGGTTAATGGTGGCAGGTGAGGGGTTAATGGTGGCAGGTGAGGGGTTAATGGTGGCAGGTGGAGGGGGGTTAATGGTGGCAGGTGAGGGGTTAATGGTGGCAGGTGGAGGGTTAATGGTGGCAGGTGGGGGGTTAATGGTGGCAGGTGGAGGGTTAATGGTGGCAGGTGGGGGGTTAATGGTGGCAGGTGGGGGGGTTAATGGTGGCAGGGGACAGCAGGTGAGGGGTTAATGGCTGCAGGTGAGGGGTTAATGGTAGCAGGTGTGGGGTTAATGGTGGCAGGTGGGGGGTTAATGGTGGCAGGTGAGGGGTTAATGGCGGCAGGGGACAGCAGGTGAGGGGTTAATGGCGGCAGGGGACAGCAGGTGAGGGGTTAATGGCGGCAGGTTGGGGGGGGGGGTTAATGGTGGCAGGTTGGGGGTTAATGGTGGCAGGTGGAGGGTTAATGGCGGCAGGTGAGGGGTTAATGGTGGCAGGTGGGGGGGGGTTAATGGTGGCAGGTGGGGGTTAATGGTGGCAGGTGGGGGATTAATGGTGGCAGGTGAGGGGTTAATGGTGGCAGGTGGGGGGGTTAATGGTGGCAGGTGGGGGATTAATGGTGGCAGGTGAGGGGTTAATGGTGGCAGGGGGGGGTTAATGGTGGCAGGTGAGGGGTTAAATAATGGCAGGTGGGGTTAATGGTGGCAGGGGACAGCAGGTGAGGGGTTAATTGTGGCAGGTGTGGGGTTAATGGTGGCAGGTGTGGGGTTAATGGTAGCAGGTGTGGGGTTAATGGTGGCAGGTGGGGGGTTAATGGTGGCAGGTGAGGGGTTAATGGTGGCAGGTGAGGGGTTAATGGTGGCAGGGGACAGCACGTGAGGGGTTAATGGCGGCAGGGGACAGCAGGTGAGGGGTTAATGGCGGCAGGGGACAGCAGGTGAGGGGTTAATGGCGGCAGGGGACAGCAGGTGAGGGGTTAATGGCGGCAGGTTGGGGGGGGGGGTTAATGGTGGCAGGTTGGGGGTTAATGGTGGCAGGTGGGGGGTTAATGGCGGCAGGTGAGGGGTTAATGGGGGCAGGTTGGGGGGGGGGGGGTTAATGGTGGCAGGTTGGGGGTTAATTGTGGCAGGTGGGGGGGTTAATGGTGGCAGGTGGGGGATTAATGGTGGCAGGTGAGGGGTTAATGGTGGCAGGGGGGGTTAATTGTGGCAGGTGAGGGGTTAAATAATGGCAGGTGGGGGGTTAATGGTGGCAGGTGAGGGGTTAATGGTGGCAGGTAGGGGATTAATGGTGGCAGGTGAGGGGTTAATGGTGGCAGGTGGGGGGGGTTAATGGTGGCAGGTGGGGGATTAATGGTGGCAGGTAAGGGTTAATGGTGGCGGGGGGGGGGGGGGTTAATGGTGGCAGGTGAGGGGTTAAATAATGGCAGGTGGGGGTTAATGGTGGCAGGGGACAGCAGGTGAGGGGTTAATTGTGGCAGGTGGGGGGTTAATGGTGGCAGGTGTGGGGTTAATGGTGGCAGGTGTGGGGTTAATGGTGGCAGTGGGGGGGGGGTTAATGGTGGCGGGGGACAGCAGGTGAGGGGTTAATGTTGGCAGGGTACAGCAGATGAGGGGGTTAATGGTGACAGGATACAGCAGATGAGGGGTTAATGGTGGGGGGGGTTAATGGTGGCAGGTTGGGGTTAATGGTGGCAGGTGGGGGGTTAATGGCGGCAGGTGAGGGGTTAATGGTGGCAGGTTGGGGGGGGGGGTTAATGGTGGCAGGTTGGGGGTTAATGGTGGCAGGTGAGGGGTTAATGGTGGCAGGTGGGAGGGTTAATGGTGGCAGGTGGGGGGTTAATGGTGGCAGGTGGGGGGGGTTAATGGTGGCAGGTGGGGGATTAATGGTGGCAGGTGAGGGGTTAATGGTGGCAGGTGGGGGGTTAATGGTGGCAGGTGGGGGATTAATGGTGGCAGGTGAGGGGTTAATGGTGGCAGGTGAGGGGTTAATGGTGGCAGGTGAGGGGTTAAATAATGGCAGGTGGGGGGTTAATGGTGGCAGGTGGAGGGTTAATGGTGGCAGGTGGGGGATTAATGGTGGCAGGTGAGGGGTTAATGGTGGCAGGTGGGCGGGGGGGTTAATGGTGGCAGGTGGGGGATTAATGGTGGCAGGGGGGGTTAATGGTGGCAGGTGAGGGGTTAAATAATGGCAGGTGGGGGTTAATGGTGGCAGGGGACAGCAGGTGAGGGGTTAATTGTGGCAGGTGGGGGGTTAATGGTGGCAGCTGTGGGGTTAATGGTGGCAGGTGTGGGGTTAATGGTGGCAGGTGTGGGGTTAATGGTGGCAGTGGGGGGGGGTTAATGGTGGTAGGTGGGGGGTTAATAGTGGCAGGTGGAGGGTTAATGGTGGCAGGTTAGGGGTGGGTGATTAATGGTGGCAGGTGGGGGTTAATTGATAAATGATTGCAGGTGAGCTGTGAAATGGTGGCTACTGAGGAGTTGTTTAAATGGTGCCATTTGAATGTTTCAGATTTTGGACAGTTTCTGATTGACACTTTTAGACAGAAATTGTTTTTCTCTCGTATTTTTAGACACCTGGAAAGACTGAGAGAACTCCATGGGATAGAAATCTTGCACGGCTGCATGAAACACGTCAAGTGATTTGGTACCAAAGTTGGAGTAGTTTCACATGAGTGACTCTGAGGTTGAAATGAAGTGTTTTATTAAAAATGTTATTTTAATTCTCATAAACATGTGGTATTGTTTCTTTCTTTAATATCCTGCATTTGCTGTAATTCAGAATGATTTCAGATATTAATAAGGTGACTCTGGATATTCTTATTTTTAAAATGAAAATGCATAGGTGAAGATTTAAAGACTTCCCCACTTTTTACAATAACAAGAGATGGCATGAAAACAACAAAAATAGTACAATACATATCAGGGTAGTGGGTTAGGATCAAGATTATAAGAGTTAACGTAATATTTAAACAAAATCAATGCCTTTAAAAATTTCCAGTGGGTATTTTATTTCCTTTTATCAATACAATTAAATGGGGGAAATTTATATCAATACCATCAGAAGGGGAAAATATCCTTGTATCAATACAATAAAATGTGAAAAATTTCTTTATATAATAAATACAATGAAATGTGAACAATGTCCTTGTATCAATAACATCAAATGTGAATAGTTGACAAGCTACACATCAAAAGAATAAATTATGTATGTGAACAGTAGTTACAATGTAAACTAACAGAAACCACATTTAAAAAATAGCTGTTGACCTATGACCCACAATGTTGGACACTTATGAGCCTAGGTCTGAGTTTTGTAATGGGATAGGGGGGGGGGGGGGAAATGGGATTGTTAAAAAAATGTGACAGTTGATTGTTAGAAAAAAATATATTGAAAAACATGCTGGGTGCCTTTAGAGGTAAAGTTGTTTCATTGAAGGAAGACAGTTTTTTTAAGATGATGGGTGGTGGGGGATTAAAAATTAAGTGAAATTGTTTACATGGTGTATGAACAACATTACATCAGTGTAACAGACAGTCAGCTAGCCTAGCCTGGTTTAGCCAGTCAACTACCCTAGGATGCAAATGTTTCTGAAGTAGAAATCAACGTTGCTGTTTCATAACACCACCCTCATCACTATAACATCAATAGCTAGATCCATCTACAACTCACACAGCACATAAACTCAAGAGGACATTTAACAGGGATTAAATACAAGAGGACATTTAACAGGGGCTTCTTTAGTCCTTAACAAATCTTTAAATGTTGCAGATTAACATAATCAAACAAACACTTTTATTTGTGAAGAAAACATAACTAATATTTGAATTATCTATATATTTACACTGTTCCAGTAAATTTGTGCATGTGTATGTATGCATATATCTGTAGAGGGCTATATATAAATGTACACCAAGACTAGTATTGATAGTTTTTTGACTAATGTTTTACAGCCATGACCAGTGTTGATGAGCGTGCACCCATCTCTCAATGAATTGTGCTCTAAAATAAGACACAGGCAGTCAAATTCAATGCACATCACAACAGGAGTATCTACTATCATATGAAATGTGTTACAACCATTTACAATAAGTTCATGTAGATTCTCCTCAATAATTAGTAATACAAACAATTTCATTTTCTTGTGGTAATTGTTTAAAAAAGAAAACCACCTTTGGTCACAAAGTTTTTTTTAAAACCACTGTTGCAAGTAAAAAGAGCAAGAAAATATCCCTGAGAACTCAGTGACACATTTGTACAGTTAAGGGAAAGCTAAACACATCAGAAGGACAGAAAAACTTAAATGTGTGTGGATAAGGTGTGTCACCTGAGGAAAAAGGTGTTTCTCACCTGAGGAAAAAGGTGTTTCTCACCTGAGGAAAAGGTTTTTCTCACCTGAGTTAAAGTGAGCAAAGTTCTAACCAACATGGAGGTTCAGTGCTGACAAGAGATGTTTAACAAACACTTGCAAGTTGCAGTCACCAGCAGTAAAAAATGAGTACATTCAAGAAACCTTGGCGGGCATGCACCAAAGAAATACTAGACAAAACTGCTGACATCCCATGATAAAATTAGTGCTAAAATGAACAAATCATGTGGTAATACAAAGTAGAAGAATTAGTGTGAGATGCCATATTGCAAATACACAATGTTGCTTGTGGTAAGTTGTATTTCTTCTGAACAATTTTTTTCCTGAGGTGTTTAATGAACATCACACGTAAATGACTTGAGATAACAGAATGGGTGAAAATAATTGTGTGATGCTGAGGCTGATTGTCCAACCAGTTTCATCCTCTCTAACATAGTGCTACTGGTCATATGGCTCTTCTAGTTGGTACTTCTCTAGCATAGTGCTACTGGTCATATGGCTCTTCTAGTTGGTACTTCTCTAGCTTGACTCAGCCACATCATCATTTATGAGGATTTGAACCTGGAACTTTTTCCATAGCTAAAAATCCTGGACATCTCAGTTACTATTAACTCACCCTATTTACTTCCCTTTCTATGGGTATAAAAAGCAGCTTGAAAAATGTGTAGTTCACTACATCACCTGGGTGTAGTTCATTACACTACATCACCTGGGTGTAGTTCACTACATCACCTGGGTGTAGTTCACTACATCACCTGGGTGTAGTTCACTACATCACCTGGGTGTAGTTCACTATATCACCTGGGTGTAGTTCACTACATCACCTGGGTGTAGTTCACTACATCACCTGGGTGTAGTTCACTACATCACCTGGGTGTAGTTCACTACATCACCTGGGTGTAGTTCACTACACTACATCACCTGGGTGTAGTTCACTACATCACCTGGGTGTAGTTCACTACATCACCTAGGTGTAGTTCACTACATCACCTGGGTGTAGTTCACTACATCACCTGGGTGTAGTTCACTACACTACATCACCTGGGTGTAGGTCACTACACTACATCACCTGGGTGTAGTTCACTACATCACCTGGGTGTAGTTCACTACATCACCTGGGTGTAGTTCACTACATCACCTGGGTGTAGTTCACTACATCACCTGGGTGTAGTTCACTACACTACATCACCTGGGTGTAGTTCACTACACTACATCACCTGGGTGTAGTTCACTACATCACCTGGGTGTAGTTCACTACACTACATCACCTGGGTGTAGTTCACTACACTACATCACCTGGGTGTAGTTCACTACACTACATCACCTGGGTGTAGTTCACTACATCACCTGGGTGTAGTTCACTACACTACATCACCTGGGTGTAGTTCACTACATCACCTGGGTGTAGTTCACTACATCACCTGGGTGTAGTTCACTACATCACCTGGGTGTAGTTCACTACATCACCTGGGTGTAGTTCACTACATCACCTGGGTGTAGTTCACTACATCACCTGGGTGTAGTTCACTACATCACCTAGGTGTAGTTCAACTATGAAGGTCAACTCAACTTCAAACATGGACAAGAAGCAAACAGGCAAATGTGTACAAAACATTGTAAAACTATTTGACCAACTCCCAGTAAAAATCTGACCAATGCTGTACATACTTTAAGATGTCATATTTACAAATGACTTGAATATATGAATGGATTTGAAATCTTATTTACAACTATTGTCCTGATGTCATTGTCCCTGGCTACTAGCTCCACCTAAGGCAAGAATTCCCTTAAACGCACCGGCTTCTATATCCACCCGGCATATAGGGCAGTTTTTGTTGGTGGACAGCCATTGGTCCACACATTCACTGTGGAACAGGTGCATGCAGGGAAGACGTCTGAAACAGGAAAAGTTGATGTTTCAACTGCTCACTACATTAGTACAGGCTAGTCAGTGCTGTGGTCAGCTGTTAAACAGGTCAGTGCTGTGGTCAGCTGTTAAACAGGTCAGTGCTGTGGTCAGCTGTTAAACAGGTCAGTGCTGTGGTCAGCTGTTAAACAGGTCAGTGCTGTGGTCAGCTGTTAAACAGGTCAGTGCTGTGGTCAGCTGTTAGACAGGTCAGTGCTGTGTTCAGCTGTTAGGTCAGTGCTGTGGTCAGCTGTTAAACAGGTCAGTGCTGTGGTCAGCTGTTAGACAGGTCAGTGCTGTGGTCAGCTGTTAAACAGGTCAGTGCTGTGGTCAGCTGTTAAACAGGTCAGTGCTGTGGTCAGCTGTTAGACAGGTCAGTGCTGTGGTCAGCTGTTAGGTCAGAGCTGTGGTCAGCTGTTGAACAGGTCAGTGCTGTGGTCAGTGCTGTGGTCAGCTGTTAAACAGGTCAGTGCTGTGGTCAGCTGTTAGACAGGTCAGTGCTGTGTTCAGCTGTTAGGTCAGTGCTGTGGTCAGCTGTTAAACAGGTCAGTGCTGTGGTCAGCTGTTAGACAGGTCAGTGCTGTGGTCAGCTGTTAAACAGGTCAGTGCTGTGGTCAGCTGTTAAACAGGTCAGTGCTGTGGTCAGCTGTTTAACAGGTCAGTGCTGTGGTCAGCTGTTAGGTCAGTGCTGTGGTCAGCTGTTAGGTCAGTGGTGTGGTCAGCTGTTAGGTCAGTGCTGTGGTCAGCTGTTAAACAGGTCAGTGCTGTGGTCAGCTGTTAATTAACCAGGTCAGTGATGTGGTCAGCTGTTAATTAAACAGGTCAGTGGTGTGGTCAGCTGTTAAACAGGTCAGTGCTGTGGTCAGCTGTTAATTAACCAGGTCAGTGATGTGGTCAGCTGTTAATTAAACAGGTCAGTGGTGTGGTCAGCTGTTAAACAGGTCAGTGGTGTGGTCAGCTGTTAGGTCAGAGCTGTGGTCAGCTGTTAAACAGGTCAGTGCTGTGGTCAGCTGTTAATTAACCAGGTCAGTGATGTGGTCAGCTGTTAATTAAACAGGTCAGTGGTGTGGTCAGCTGTTAGGTCAGAGCTGTGGTCAGCTGTTAAACTGGTCAGTGCTGTGGTCAGCTGTTAGGTCAGTGCTTTGGTCAGATGTTAAACAGGTCAGTGCTGTGGTCCGCTGTTAAACACACATGACTGAATGAAACAACTGACCTGACATCCTCACCTGTCTCAAACTCACTGAGACAGATGGTGCACTTCTCCTGGTGGTTGTTGCTGTCAGGGTTGTCTCCCCCTGCGCATGTCTCCACCTGAAGGAAACAGAAACTTGGTGTTCAAAGGTTTGGAAGAGTCAAAGATACTTGGTACTCATGCAAACAATGAAAATATAAGAATGTACTAAACATCTGATTTAAAATTATCATACAAGTATGGCAGTCCGACATATTTATCAAATGAGGTTTGACATGTGTGAAATATCCCTTGGTACAGCAGAAATAAACCTAAAGGTAGAGGTCTGGCATATGTGAATTATCCCTTGGTACAGCAGAAATAAACTTAAGAGGTACAAAAGAGGTCTGACATGTGAAATATTCCTTGGTACAGCACAAATAAACCTAGAGGATCAAACGAGGTCTGACATATGTGAAATATCCCTTGGTACAGCAGAAATAAACCTAAAGGTACAAAAGAGGTCTGACATGTGAAATATCCCTTGGTACAATAGAAACAAAACCTAGAGGTACAAACGAGGTCTGACATGTGTGAATGACAACAGAAACAAAACCTAGAGGTACTGTGTGAAATATCCCTTGGTACAACAGAAACAAAACCTAGAGGTACTGTGTGAAATATCCCTTGGTACAACAGAAACAAAACCTAGAGGTACTGTGTGAAATATCCCTTGCTACAACAGAAACAAAACCTAGAGGTACTGTGTGAAATATCCCTTGCTACAACAGAAACAAAACCTAGAGATACCTTCTTATATTTGTGTGGTAGAGTATTGCGCTCAATGACTTCCTGTGTGGCGCCCATCATGTTGCAGTGACTCATATCAAAGTGTGGATGTTGTGGGTGGCGTCTCTCTATGGTCATCTGTAACACAGATTTTAACATCTCAGTTTGTTAACTTTTTCAGTGGATGAGGTAGTGATGAGTTTTTATGAGATAAGGTAGTGGTGTAGACATGAGGTAAGGTAGTGGTGAGGTGGTGTAGACATAACCAGGTGGTGAAGACATATAAGGTAGTGTTGAGGTAGTATAGACAGTAATGTTGAGTCGGCAATGTTGTTTAGGTACTGTTGATGTGTTAATGTTGTTCTTGTGTTTTAATGTGTTAATGTTGTGAGATGTAGTGTTGTGTTAATGTGGTGTTGATGTGTTAATGTGGTGTTGATGTAGTGTTGTGTTAATGTTGTGCTGATGTGTTAATGTAGTGTTGATGTAGTGTTGTTGTGTTGATGCTGTCTTGATGAGCTGTGTTGTCACTTACCCTGGGTGGGAGAACAGGACGATGATTGTAATCCTGTCAAAAAGATTTGAAACATTTATTAAAACAATCTGTTCTAACATTCACAAAATCTGATATTTTTTAAAAGTCACATTATAAGTGATGTCTTTATTAGTTATAAAAGTTAAAAGTTTAGGTAAAGGTTATGGTGTGGTCTAGTTTAGTTCCAGTTTAGTTCCAGATTTAATTAAAGATGTAGCTCAGGTGAAGGCATTTTTAAAATTTTAGGTGTTTTTTGAAGAGTTGATTTTTGGTTTCTATTATGGAATGCAGTATAGATTAACGATTAGGTTTGGGTTAGAATGAAGTGCATGTAGAATAAGCATAGATTAATCTTGATTTTAACAAACCTTGTATACACAACAATATCAAGCCCTAATTACATACAATAACACAATTATAACAAAACTTTTATACATACAATAACATAACAATACAAAGCCATATCTACATACAATAATAAGGCCTAACTATATACAAAACCACAATTATAACAAACCTTATACTTATATACATACAATAACATAACATTACATGCAATATACATACAATCACACAATTACAACAAGCCTCATATACATACAATAACACAAAAATAACAAGCAGTATATACTATAACGCTATATTTACATACAATAAAAAACCTTATATACAAGAACACAACAATACAAGCCCTATCTACATACACTAATATATTCCATCATCTGGCACACAACAAGCCCTATCTACATACACTAATATATTCCATCACCTGGCTTACAAGAACACAACAAGCCCTATCTACATACACTAATATATTCCATCACCTGGCTTACAAGAACACAACAAGCCCTATCTACATACACTAATATATTCCATCACCTGGCTTACAAGAACACAACAAGCCCTATCTACATACACTAATATATTCCATCACCTGGCACACAACAAGCCCTATCTACATACACTAATATATTCCATCACCTGGCTTACAAGAACACAACAAGCCCTATCTACATACACTAATATATTCCATCATCAGGCACACAACAAGCCCTATCTACATACACTAATATATTCCATCATCTGGCACACAACAAGCCCTATCTACATACACTAATATATTCCATCACCTGGCTTACAAGAACACAACAAGCCCTATCTACATACACTAATATATTCCATCATCTGGCACACAACAAGCCCTATCTACATACACTAATATATTCCATCACCTGGCTTACAAGAACACAACAAGCCCTATCTACATACACTAATATATTCCATCATCTGGCACACAACAAGCCCTATCTACATACACTAATATATTCCATCACCTGGCACACAACAAGCCCTATCTACATACACTAATATATTCCATCATCTGGCTTACAAGAACACAACAAGCCCTATCTACATACACTAATATATTCCATCACCTGGCTTACAAGAACACAACAAGCCCTATCTACATACACTAATATATTCCATCATCTGGCTTACAAGAACACAACAAGCCCTATCTACATACACTAATATATTCCATCACCTGGCTTACAAGAACACAACAAGCCCTATCTACATACACTAATATATTCCATCATCAGGCACACAACAAGCCCTATCTACATACACTAATATATTCCATCATCTGGCTTACAAGAACACAACAAGCCCTATCTACATACACTAATATATTCCATCATCTGGCACACAACAAGCCCTATCTACATACACTACTATATACCATCACCTGGCTTACAAGAACACAACAAGCCCTATCTACATACACTAATATATTCCATCATCTGGCTTACAAGAACACAACAAGCCCTATCTACATACACTAATATATTCCATCACCTGGCTTACAAGAACACAACAAGCCCTATCTACATACACTAATATATTCCATCACCTGGCTTACAAGAACACAACAAGCCCTATCTACATACACTAATATATTCCATCACCTGGCTTACAAGAACACAACAAGCCCTATCTACATACACTAATATATTCCATCATCAGGCACACAACAAGCCCTATCTACATATACTAATATATTCCATCATCTGGCTTACAAGAACACAACAAGCCCTATCTACATACACTAATATATTCCATCATCAGGCACACAACAAGCCCTATCTACATACACTACTATATACCATCACCTGGCTTACAAGAACACAACAAGCCCTATCTACATACACTAATATATTCCATCACCTGGCTTACAAGAACACAACAAGCCCTATCTACATACACTAATATATTCCATCACCTGGCTTACAAGAACACAACAAGCCCTATCTACATACACTAATATATTCCATCACCTGGCTTACAAGAACACAACAAGCCCTATCTACATACACTAATATATTCCATCACCTGGCTTACAAGAACACAACAAGCCCCATCTACATACACTAATATATTCCATCACCTGGCACACAACAAGCCCTATCTACATACACTAATATATTCCATCAGCTGGCTCACAAGAACACAACAAGCCCCATCTACATACACTAATATATTCCATCATCAGGCACACAACAAGCCCTATCTACATACACTAATATATTCCATCAGCTGGCTTACAAGTACACAACAAGACCTATCTACATACACTAATATATTCCATCACCTGGCTTACAAGTACACAACAAGACCTATCTACATACACTAATATATTCCATCAGCTGGCTTACAAGAACACAACAAGCCCTATCTACATACACTAATATATTCCATCACCTGGCGTTCCAGATTAAATGGTAACGGTAAGGCCACACCAGGAGAATAGGGCATCAGCTCAGCCCAGGGATACTAGAGATCAAAAACAAAATTTTTGGTTGGTCAGCTAGATCAGCTATGGTCATAAGCTAACAGCTAAAGCTCAGCAATGGTCGGTTAGTTGGGTCAGATATTGTCATCAGCTAAACCCTGTGCAGCCTACCGCAACTGCTCCACACTTAACTTTGTCATATATACATTGAAATTGGCAGTCTACATAAAAAGCCTGAAAGAAACTTGCCTGAATACAATTTGCCTAAGGCGGTTATCTTTGTCTTAAAACATATGGGTAAATCAAAAGAGGTAACAAGTAAAACAATTTCTGTGCTCAGATTATTGTTTCCCATGCAGTAAGCAGGGCTTATTTCTTTTTTTTCTCCAGTGGTTATTGAAACTTACGGGGGTGCCAGCGATGGTTTAGGTATATAGTTACTAATCAATTGTTTGACTTTTTGCCTGACCCCTGGCAATAACTGACAGCACAGTCTTACATCATTCAAATAGCATCACTTTTGATTCTTGTTTACAGCTTCTTTGGTTCTCATGTTGAGGTCATTATAGACCATTTACTGTGTGATTTAGACAATGTCTTTATCATTGAACAAAGACACTTTTGATTTCTAAGTAATAAGTTCTGCTGCCTTCAATACTTTTTTTAAGAATAGCTTGTTTAGTTGATGTTGAACTGTGATTATTTCATAACTAATAGGGCCATTTCAGCTGAAACTATTTAAAAATTGAATACAGTGGCAAGCATTTGATTCCCATTTAACAAACTGTTTAAAAATGGGTTTAAACCATCACTTAATAGAGCAATGGTATAGCCATCACTTAATAGAGCAATGGTAGGTTAATTAAAACAGGAAGAAAAAAATTAATTTCTAGATACTAGATGGTTAAAAAAACACAAAAATTAATCAGTTATATGGTCTATTCAAGCAACTGTCATGTTTGGGGAACGTCCATTCAGGCAAATGGATATTAAGGCAAGTGTTTTTCAGACAAACATGTGTGACCCATGTTGGTATATGGTTTGACAGATCAATATCTACAATCTAACAGATAATCTGTTACACAATCATTATTGTTAATCTTTTAATACATCATCTAGCTCACTAACAGTCAAAACACATTTGTCAAATGTACAAAAAATTAACTGTTGTAATATCCTAGACAAAAATTATTAACATAGCTAAGGTAAATATTTCTAATCAATCAGGAGATGAGGTTAGGTGTAATGAAACTAATGTTAATAGAACAATCTAACTTATTGATAGAACTAATGTGTATATGGATAGAACTAATGTAAGATAAATAGAACAATCTAACATATTGAAAGAACTATGTAGAATAGATAATGATAGAAGATGAAAGAGAATATAAATAAGGGAAGATGTTCTTAGAATAAAGTAGAATAGTAGAGGACTAATTGGGGTATTTTTAGAACTGTTAAGGATTCTAATAAACTAAGATTATAGAACACATTAAAATATTTAATTTAGATAAAATACACTAGTTGAAATTGAAAGTACAAATAAAGTAAGGTGTGAGAACATTCTAAAATGCTGATGAAACAAAAAATATTGATAGAGCTAATCCAAACATGGTGAAATAGTCTAGGTGTTATGTTAAAACATTGAATTGACAGAAGATCAGACTTAGTTACTAGGACACTGAGAGATCGTGATTAACTTGAGAGCATAATAGAAGAGATAAAGGGAGAACTGAACGCTTGTGTGAGAGAAAACTACGCTCATGCCTTGGTGAGGTACAACACTGAGATGGTGGAAAGAAACACAGAGTTTACCTCATTATTACGTATCAAGCGGGTTAACATATGGGGGACTTGACCCGACTGACTCACCATGCGTTGCGTCTCATGTGGGTGGGGATGAGCATGGTCACAGAACATTCCGGGGTGAGGGTGCAGCACTGAGGAGCTGTTGGAGTGTGCCTGTGGCAGATGCTGGCTGCTCTCTGGGGGCTGAGATAAGGCAAGCGCTGCTGACTGAGGGGTGCTTAGAGGTGGCTGGTTGGAGGGTGACACGGCTGGGACAGGAGGGAGGTGTTGGTGAGCCGCAGGGGGTGGCCTCAACCTGGGCAGGTGGTAATGTGACATGATGCTGGGTTGTGGGGGGGACAGAGGGCGCTGGCTGGCTTGTGATGTAAGTGTATCCATGCTGGGGAGAAGAAATGTGTGCTGTTATTTCACTTGAATGGTTGACTCAGCTGCTACACAATATACAATGACACCTAGCAGGCCAGATTTCTAAAACTGATAAACTATTGCTAATAACTTCCTCTATTATAAAAACAAAATAATTCAGAGAAATATCTAGCTTTAACCTTGGCTTAACAAAAGCTAATTTTTACTTTATTTTTTCATTCAAAATATTTAATTACAGACTTTATTAATTAATCCACTATTCCATTTGTTCATTAATGATTAAAAATTATGTTTGATATTAATTCTTTAGTGATTCAACTATCCCAACTTTCCCCATATGGACATGAGTGATTGAACTATCCCAACATTCCCCATATGGACATGAGTGATTGAACTATCCCAACTTTCCTTACCTCATTGCTGTTTGTGGATCTCTGGCCACCACCCTAGAGACAGAGTTAGCCTGGCTGGTGCTGGGGGGAGGGTGGCCAGGGGGAGGGTGGCCGGGGGGAGGGTGGCCAGGGGGAGGGTGGCCGGGGCCAGGGGGAGGGTGGCTGCAGGAGGTGCAGGTAGCAGCACACAGCAGGCCTGAGTGATGACAGCCAGCTGCAGGTGCGGGGGAGACAGGATGGTTGGCACCGTGGAACTGGAGCAGGGATGGGGACTGGCAGCTGAAGAGGAAGCCGTAGTTCTCCCTGGCAGGATGGTAGATGTGGTGGTGGATGTGGGCCTGGGGAGGCTGGTGTCTCATCACTGAGGATATAGCATGGTCAGTTACTGGGGGCAAACATGGGCATGTTAGGTGGGTTCATTTCAATTATACAAGAGCTCATTAGGTGAGTCATTTAGATTATACAAGAGCTCATTAGGTGAGTCATTTAAATTATACAAGAGCTCATTAGGTGAGTCATTTAAATTATACAAGAACTCATTAGGTGAGTCATTTAAATTATACAAGAACTCATTAGGTGAGTCATTTAAATTATACAAGACTCATTAGGTGAGTCATTTAAATTATACAAGACTCATTAGGTGAGTCATTTAAATTATACAAGAACTCATTAGGTGAGTCATTTAGATTATACAAGAGCTCATTAGGTGAGTCATTTAAATTATACAAGAGCTCATTAGGTGAGTCATTTAAATTATACAAGACTCATTAGGTGAGTCATTTAAATTATACAAGACTCATTAGGTGAGTCATTTAAATTATACAAGACTCATTAGGTGAGTCATTTAAATTATACAAGACTCATTAGGTGAGTAATTTTAATTATACAAGACTCATTAGGTGAGTAATTTTAATTATACAAGACTCATTAGGTGAGTAATTTTAATTATACAAGACTCATTAGGTGAGTAATTTTAATTATACAAGACTCATTAGGTGAGTAATTTTAATTATACAAGACTCATTAGGTGAGTAATTTTAATTATACAAGACTCATTAGGTGAGTAATTTTAATTATACAAGAGCTCATTTGGTGAGAAATTTAAATTATATATGAGTATTTGTTTTTTCACTTTGTGATCCTGGCATATTTCTGACATTTAATTTCAAGAGTCAGTAATTATGGTGCCTTATTAAAAGATGCTGTTTAGTACAGGTGGAACTGTAAGCTTCTTAAAGCAAATACAATTTTTTTAAAATTCATTAAAAAGACAAGGTTGCTGATGAGTAGTGGATACAAGCTGTGCCACAAGACAAAGACTAACCTCTGAACTGTGACCCACAGTTCATGTCAGCAGGACCTCCCATGTTGCCACTTCTGTTGACAGATATCCCACTGTGGGGCATGTGGTGATGTATGTGTGGAGAGGTCCTAAAGGACAAAGTTCAACAGCCATGTTTGTTACAGCATGCATTAAATCCACAACAAAACATCTAAATAACTTTTGAAGGTATATTGAAACTGCTATTTTATATCTAGTGAAACATAAGTTCATTTACCTATAATACCTTTGTGGGGGAACAGGCTGAGGGCGCTGGATGGGCTGTAGGTTTCTAGACACATGATGGTGGTGGTGATGGTGATGGTGGAGCTGGCGGGACAGCGCTGCCTGGTGATACGGTGTGCTGGCATGGCTGGACGCTGGATTGCCCATGGAAAATGGGTTTGACGAGCTAGCTGGACTGCTGGTGCAAGAGTGTGGTGGGATGTTGGTTTGTGATGGCATGAAGGTGCTCATTACACTGGGGCTGTCCGTGACGTGGGGGCAGGGCGAGGCGTGGGAACATCCCTGACACATGTGGTGTTTGTGGGCTCGAACTCTCCAAGGGTTGTCAGGGCCATGCTGAAACAGAGAGTATTCAAACAATTACTGACACTATTGGCAATGTTTTCTGTACACACAACTTGTCAACCATTAACTTCCTGAAACACCCTCTACCCGTAGCGCTCTGTATACCATATTAGTAGAATAAAGCTAATATTTTAATGAAAAAGACATGAAATAGAAGTGTTTCAACTTCCTTATATCAATGCAATCTAGAATTGTTTTTAATACTATTTTCTTCTCACCCCGAATTTTTTACCCATCTTTCTTTTTTTTCAGTTACTTTAAAATTGAAATTAAATTTATATATGACTGATAAAGTATTTACTAAATTATATATATCAGATGACCATATTGCTATTGACTGAGCAATTTGGATATTTGTTTAGATGAAAATAAATTTTCCCTTAAATGACCAATTTTAAATTTAATCTGCTAATTTTTATCTCCAACTTTTATTGGTGTACATTATAATGATCTAATACTCTTAAAAGAGCTTGATTTTTTTGTAAAAATATTTACTTATCCACAAAGAGCTACAATCTTTAATTGAGTTTACAAGGGAGATGTTTGAGGAGAAGATTGGGAAGTTAATGGTTGTGTGAAACACAATCTGTTTAAATCTACTCAAAGATCAATACATGAGGGGTTATGACCTATAGTGACTCAAACTGTACTAACTTCATGGTCTCTGCCCTGCTGATCTTGCCAAGGGTTTTGTGTGGGTCTTTGCATCAAGGGCTAGAAAAAATGTTGAAATGTCTGCACACCAACTTAAAACTATACAGCTACAAGTTTTGTTTATTTGTCTGGGATTAGTCTATTATTTTAATCCCAAATGTAAAATTCTAATGCTCACTCCACTTAACACAATTCTGATGTGTTTAATTATGTGATAGTACTTAGGTAAAAGTTTTTTTATCAAGAAAGTTTCCTAAGGTAGCCTAAGGTAGCAGATCATTAGATGAGCTGCCACCATGATTATTTCATCTCTTACCGTTGATTGCATACATCTCTGACACTGGCACTGACAACACACACTAGAGGCAGCACGCTGCTCGCTGGGCTCCTGGCCAGTCACGCTTGAACTACCCTGGGCTGCTTCCCTGGGCTGGGTGGGTGGACGTGAGCCTTCTCTGGGGGTCTGGGCATGGGCAGACGGCCCAATGAAAAAGTGGGCTGTGTCTTCAGCATTTCTCCATGATGAAACCTTTCAGAGAGTAAGCCAGTAAAGCCATTAGAGAAATGGGTCTTGGGGTTATAACAGACACATGGTGTAAAATGTTGGTGATAAAATGCTAATATTGAGATGATTAAACCTCCTCTTAAGTGGAGACTAAAGTCACTTACTGGGATCCTAGGGCTGCGGTTCTGTAGGAAAGACGTCGGCCTAAATGTAGTTACTGAGGGACCCTGGGGCTCCAAGTGTGGGGTGTGCTGGCTGTGTGTGGGGGCTGCCTCACTTGTGGGGTTGCTTGGCTGGGTTGTTGGTGGGACAGCGTGCTCTGGTGGAGGGTAAGAACAACTGAGTCAAACACAATGACAGATGAAAAAAAGTTTTAACAAAATATTTGCAAAGTTTCCAGATAATCTTCAAATTAAAAAATTACAAAAAAGTTACAAGGGCAGCTTGACACAATCTTATCAGTTTTAGAAACTATAAAAAAAAATGAAACACTTAATGGGTGTTGTGAATAGTGATTAGGCTGATGATGCTCTACTTGTTAATCTAGTTTGTCATTACTGCTCACTGTGTCCAGTGCTGTGAGCTATTTTTGTGGTCCAGCGTGTTTTAGTTTTTATTGCGCATTATCTGTGTTCTAGTGGGTCATGTTTTAAGCTAGATAGAATTGACTGTGTTTCTTGTTTAGTTTCTGTGTGGTGTGCATTCTGTATTATTGTTACTTTTAATGAGTTTTGATTTCATTAAGTCTAGTGGCTTGTAACCAATTAGTGTTCCTATGTCCTGTGACACACTAGCCTGCACTTAGCAGTGTGCGCACACAACAAAGGGTTTGTAGCAAAATTCACTTAATAGTACAAAAATTGAGTGTGCAAGATATATTTTGTGCGCGACTTAATCTAAAAAGACGTACAAATTCATTACGTATTTTATAAAATTACTGCATGAGCAGAATGACCCCGAGCAGAATGACCCCTACCCCCCACCTGTGTGAGAACATAATAACTGTGCTTACCTTCATCAGACCCTGTGAGATCCACACCTTCATCTGATTCTGTGGTCAAATCCACAACAACTGTTGCATGACTATTTCTATAAAAAAAAGTTTTTTTAAAAAAAAACAAGTTTTAATTGGACATCGTTTCAAACTACTGAACTAGCACAATGAAAAAACCCCGTACGACTATAATTGCCAGAGTACTTTAAGCCTAGGAAATGGAGCAAATTGTTTAAGACTTACCTTGGTTCCACCATGACAACTTCAACATCGCTGTCATCTGATCCGTTGGTGGTGCCCTGGGCAGATGGGGCAGCTGGGTCAGTTCTACTGGGGCCGTCACCACCACCTTCAACAATCTGCCCCAGGCCCTGCCGCCAGATGTCCTGCAGCCAATGGTTCCAAGGCTGGCTGTTGGCACCTGTCTGGCCACCCTGGCTAGGCCGCACAGGTGAGAAGAGAGAGTCCATAAGGTTTGGGGTGGAACTGTTCCGGGAAGTATTCAGACTAGGACTGGTTGTGGATGGTGGATTAGCCAGAAGAGTGTCCACCAAACTAGAGCTGGTGGTGGATGGCGGATTAGCCAGAAGTGTGTCCACCATATTGGATGAGTCATGTCTCCTCACTGATCTGTTACTCTCAGGAGAAGAAAAAAAGTTGCGATCTGAAGATTCAGACGAGGAAGAACTTGAATCCATGGGTGGGTCAGGCTCTAAGAAAGAAGGGAATTGATGCCTAGAGTCCCTGGCTGGCCCATCTTGCTGGTTGTGGGATGATGGACTACTGGCGCCACCTGATGAGACAGTTCTGGCATGACTGCAGTCCCCTAGTCGCTGGCTGGACGGGCCACCAGCTGTGTTTGAGCCAGCCTCAGCACCAAGAAAGGTGTCCCTGACCTCAGCAGTTGCCCCATCTCTTGATGTAGAAGCTCCATTTGTGTTGGCAGACCTGCAAGGAAGTAGATGTTAAGTAAAATATTTTCTCACACAGGGCATGTTTTTACAGAATCCAGTGGTCATTTCTTACCTTTTGGAAGACAAATCCCATGCCTGTTTGGGTTCTTTTCCTTTACATCCACAATGTGAGGACTTTTTTCCATTCTTTGGCACAGGTAAGCTGAAGGTCATCCCCTCCTGGACAAATACCGTCTCCACCATCTCCTCACCCAGGTTTTGATGGGAGCGTCGATGGAATGGCATGTTTGCATCTCTAGTGGTCATCATTTCTGTAACAGTTGTAGGGTGATGCTTAACTAACCTCACTTAAACAGATATTATGTATCCAGTGATGGCAGTAATGGCAAGTTGAATAAAGTGGCACCTACCAGACAGGCTAGCTAAGAAAAGTTAGGGGCACCTACAAGGCAGGCTAGGTAAGAAAAGTTAGGGACACCTACCAGACAGGCTAGGTAAGTTAGGGGCACCTAGAGGACAGGCTAGGTAAAAAAAAGTTAGGAACACCTACCAGACAGGCTAGTTGAGAAAAGTTAGGGCACCTACCAGACAGGCTAGGTAAGAAAAGTTAGGGCACCTACCAGACAAACTTCCCTGAAAAGTTTGTAGTGTTGGTGACTCAGGGCGCTGGTCACTGTTGAGTCTTCCAGACATGTCACTTCTGAGAGCATCATTGGCTGATGACAAGACAACCCGTTTAAGTGAATAAAACTAGTAAACACAACTGATTCACCTTTCTAAACAAAATAAAGTGCTCTAAAGGAACTTAGAAAAAAATTAAATCAAACCTGGTTCTGGCATGCCAAGAAATGGGTCATTGTCCAACCTCTCTGTCTGGTCAAGTAATAGTCCAAGACCAGATGGACGACTCATGGAACAGCCTGAACCTGGAGAACAACAATTGGTTAAATACATTTACCATTCAACATTACTGTCTCATAACTAAAAAAAACACTAAAAAACACCCCCCTTCCTCCCACATTCAACAAAGGTATATCACAATCATAATTCTCTTTGTAACTAGATATAGCATGGAAAATTAAACTGATATACTTGTAATATACCTGAATTTAACTGATATACACTTGTATATAACTGAATAATTAAACTGAAATACTTGCATCCACCTGAATGATTTCACTGATATACTTGTACCTACCTGAATCATCCAGAAATGCAGATGTTGCTGCCCCAGACGAGGGGTACCTGGTGTATCTCCACGAGTCAGCAACACAACGTCTGGCACGAGGCGACTGGAACCTGCTCCCTCCTACTGGCTGGGGCATGAATAACTCCACCTGAGGGGGTGGGGGTGTTGCAGTTCGGACAGGAGTTTCCTCATCACTTTGAGAATCCTCTCCATTCAGGTTAAAAATGTCATACCCAACCCTGTCTCTCTGCATCATTACGTCTGTCCAAATATGAGGTCTCCTGTTACTGGACGAGCCCCTAGGCTCGGGTAAATTAAATAGCCCGTACGGATTCAATGGATCCCAGTCATCATTAGAATGGGAAGGCATATCCAGGAAATCTGAGGGGGAGGTGTTTCTCTCAGACAAGCTAGAGCAGGCAAACAAGCCCTGGGAGCTGACCCCTGAACTCTGGCAACTAGCAGAACCTGAGGAGGAGTCAGATGTGCTGTGCTGGAGGAACGGGTGACCACTGCTCTCATCCGTGGTGGACGTCACTGTGTCATCCGACAGGTCGGACAGGTGATTTAGTATTGTGTGCATACTGCAGTCGATTGCTGGGCCTGGGGGAGTTGTCGTTGTCACCTCTGCAGCATCTGAAAGTTATTAAATAGACAATTTGGTCACATGACCTGTGTAAGTGTCAAGCAAGAAATTATCTGTATGAGAGTCAAGCAAGACATTACTTGTATGAGATTCAAGAAAGACATTACCTGTGTGAGAGTCAAGCAAGACATTACCTGTATGAGAGTCAAGCAAGACATTACCTGTATGAGAGTCAAGCAAGACATTACCTGTGTGAGAGTCAAGCAAGACATTACCTGTATGAGAGTCAAGCAAGACATTACCTGTGTGAGAGTCAAGCAAGACATTACCTGTATGAGAGTCAAGCAAGACATTACCTGTATGAGAGTCAAGCAAGACATTACCTGTGTGAGAGTCAAGCAAGACATTACCTGTATGAGAGTCAAGCAAGACATTACCTGTGTGAGAGTCAAGCAAGACATTACCTGTGTGAGAGTCAAGCAAGACATTACCTGTATGAGAGTCAAGCAAGACATTAACATTACCTGTGTGAGAGTCAAGAAAGACATTACCTGTATGAGAGTCCTCTGCCTCCATGTCGCTCTGTGAGAGGTCATCACTGACCCACGTGGACTGCACAGAGCCCACATCTTGATACAGAGCTGTCAAAAACAGGGAAAATTAACTTGGTTAAATCATGTGAATTTGCTGACATCAAAGACACTATAGTAATTACTTGTGGGGAAGATGTAATGTCATAATGATGTCATGTATCATGTCAGATGTCAGGTAAGATGATGCCATACCAGTGGTTGCTTCCTCTGCTGCTGCCTCAGCAACAATGATAAAACTCATGTTGTTGGCTGTGGGGGGCGGGGTGCAGTCAACGCCTGACATGGGCACAGAATCTACAACAGCTTCAGACAGCACAAGGCCTGACCCTTCAGCATCAGATTCTGACTAAAAAAACAAAGTCATATCAAACTAATCAAATGCAGCATAGATGAAATGACAAGTGAATCAACTAGCCTATGAGAAGTGAATCAACTACACTAACAGTGACTTAAGTCTTAAGTGAGTATTCTGAACTTGTTAGAGATTGCAGGCCCGGCCAATCAAATCATCACATAGAGAATTAAATCAAACATAAATAGAATCTATCGTCACAGAATTAACACCTGAATGAAAAAACAAAGATCTGTGCTTACCTGTTTCATCCCCATTGCTCCAATGTCAACAATGGGAGATGGGAGCCAGGTCATAGCCACCTCTCCTGACCCTGATGCCATCGGCTCATCAGCCATGATGATAAATCCCAAAAAATGAAAACTTGCTTTTCAGAATAACTACTTGCAAAAGTCCTTTCACAACTCTTTTGCAAATAATGTTACATTAACTTCATGAACACATTTTATTCTGGACTGGAGTAAATTCTTCACTGAAAGAAAACAGTAGCACAATAGAATGGTCTCTCTTTAAAAAAGACGAATTACAAAATCCCACAAATCTTAATAGCTAACGTATGATTTTCTATTTAAAATGTTTTGTGTAAAGCATATTTAAAAAATTGATCAATTTTTTTCAAAATTCTAAATATAAGAATAAGAAAATAAAAGGAACTTTTTTCTCTAGTAAAAGCTTTGGTAACTAAAATGTATTATGAGTTATGAATGCTTTATTGTAACTAAAGAAAAAAAACTTGTTCATAATGCATTTTAAAGATTATTAATATAAAGGTTGATTATAGGCCTACTGGGTTTTTTTTTTTTATTTCAGCAAATACGAATTCTTAAAAATTAAAATAGTATGTTGATACTAGTTAAAAACAAGTAGGCCTAGCGTATATTTATTCTTTTTTATTTTGCTCTCAATAAAAGTCAATAAATCACATGACAAAAATGAACTGCTTTAAGTAAATTAAGACAATTAGTAGATTCTAGATTACGATCCTTTAATGTTTAATGTCTTTTCTGTCTCGTAGGAAGTTTGTGGTCTGCCCCCAGGTTTAAAAACATCAGTAAACAGTAGTAAACACAACTCAGGTCCCCTGAAAGCCAGAGACTGGCTGACACACTTGATTAGGTTTAGTCAATGATTATAGATTTATTACCCCATCGCACAGATAGCGTATCGTGCACATTTAAGATTAATTAACAAAGGGGGTATGTATAGAGTGCTCACAGGGAAGCTCAGGGCTCCAAGTAGTTTAGATCTAGATTCTATGTGAGTTCATTTAAATTAGTTAGGGCCTAGATCTAGTAATTAGGTTAGGCAGTAAAGCATACTGTATTTTGTAACAACATAATCCATAGATCCAACATTCTAAATTCTAGATCTAGACTTTGTTTAAGAGTTAATTATTTAGTCAAAATCTCAATTGTCTCAAGTCAAAAGTAGTGTACTAGAATTTAGTCTACATGAGTACATATTTAGTACATAACACTAGATCTAGAACTAGATTCTAGTCACTAGAAGAATTCTGAATCTAATCTCTAGTAGATGTAGTCTAGATCTACAGTAGTCCATAAGTTAGTATCAAATCAACTTAAAAGTCTTAATCAAGTGGTGAAGTATTAATTATTAACTGAGTAGGCTAATAAGTAGATCTAATTAATTAAGTAAGACTTAGTAAGAAGATCATTTTAGTTTAACTTAAAATTTTTAACTCGCTCATCTTTTTTTAGCTAGACTGCTAGAGAGATCTTCTATTCTTAGACTTAAACTAGCTATAAAATTATAAATAATTAATAAAACTAATAGCCTACTAACTTTTGTTTGAGGTGATTAGACCTAAATATTGTTAAGAAAAAAGTTTGCTTGAAATATTAGATCTAGATGTGTTTCTAAATATTGCATTGGAAATTAAGGAAATGAGAATTCCCATTGCACTAGCCCAGATAATGCCAGATATGACAACGCAGCCTCGAGCATAGGAAATATGAAAATAACAAGAATAGCATAATAATAATTCCGCAGTAAATGGAATTACTTTTTTACTTGGCTCGGGACTATCGATAATTTTCTAAATATAACTTCGATTGCCAAAATAAACTTGAGATATGTGCCACAAAACAAATGGGAATAATATTATTTGTATCGCAAAAATAAATGTATGAGGAAATTTTTATTAACATATTTCTCAGCAGAATTCTAAATATTGGCGTCACTAAGGGGTGCAAGTAACACTGATACATTTGCTGGAGAGGCATTATTCAACCTAAGCTTAGTGCTCTCAAAGACAGTCTCGCAGAAATTCTCATTAACAGCTTAATTCTGATACTGAATATTATAGGACTAAGTTAATAAGTATACTTAACAATATAGAAAGAAAATTAGGGAAAGGTCTGAATTAGAATATTTTGAGCAGATTTTGGAAGGTTTGTTTACCATTACGATAATATAAATAAGCAGTATTTCTTTCAGATAACTTTACAAAGGGGGGGGGGGGACTTAAGTTTTCATGGGGGGGGGGGGGGGGGGGGGGGAATACTGTTACTGTGTAAAATATATTTTTTTATATAAATTATACAAATGTGTTCTATTTCGTTGGGGGGGGGGGGCAGTGGACTTCCTTTGTATGCAGTGCTTCCATCATAATCCCCGAAGAAATGCCGGAAATAAATTGAAAATAAGGCCTCTATTGATTATAAACTATTTTAAATTTCAAAATCAGTCAAATTATTTTATTGATGTAAACTTACCTTACCCGTCGCGCGATTCTGCGTCTGTGAAGAAAGGGAGCCCGGTGTGTTATCTTGCCCCTTTGGGAGCCCGGCATGCTCCCGTTACACGACATCCGGGACGGCCCAGGTGCACTTAAACTGTTAGGTTTGACTTTTGGTTGCTTATGTATCCGCGTGATAACCAACTATTTAAATAAAAGTGTATTATCATATAAATAAAGAAAATCATTTCTTTGCTAGTTTTTGTGCATTATTACACAAAAAATTGCTTTTAAAACGTTTTTATGAATTTGTTTTTCAGTACTTTAATTTTTTTTTTAAATTTACAATAGAGTTGCATGACTAAAAACGGTTGCACACCTAATGAACATGATGACGCGCGTATAATAGTGCGGAATAGTTGGATAAGACAGCCTAATAATTCGGACAAAATTTTAATTAATTCATCAAAAAATAATTAGGCATCAAAGTATGTGAAATTTAATGTCAGATTCCATTGTCTTAATGTATTGACCCACGTGCAGTAGCGTAGTGATGGGGGGAGGGCGGGGGGGGGACATATGTCCCCGGGCGACGACCTTAGGGGGCGCCAAAATCGGTTGGAAAATTAAATTGAAAGGTTGAGGGGGGTGCAAATCGAAAGTTTGAGGGGGGGGGGGTGCAAATCGAAATCTTGAGGGGGGGGGGGGTGCAAATCGAAATCTTGAGGGGGGGTGCAAATCTAAAGTTTGAGGGGGTGCAAATCGAAATCTTGAGGGGGGTGAAATTCGAAAAGTTTGTCCCCGGGCGCCGGGAAGGGTTGCTACGCCTCTGCCCACGTGCTAACTTTGAACCGAATCCGTCAGTTAGAAGTGCCAGAAATTTCGCTCTAGCGTTTTTATCAATGTCGACTGACGATAGATAGACTGTCCACGACAGACTGTCCACAAACAGACAGAGGAAGCAAGTTAAATAAAATCTTGTAAAAAGGGAAGGAACCTTACTGAACTTCAGTCAAGCTGGGTTATTTTTCTTAGATTGTGATCCAGATTATCTTGACAAGCCTTTATACTTAATATTTTTTACCAAGGCACAAATCCACGAACATTGATAAAACACGTTCAAACGATATTACATAAAGAACATTGTATGGTGTACGTTCGATAGTCAAAGATTTTGTTTCTTAAGTTCCCAACATGTTTTTTTTTTTTAAATGCTTCGTATTAACGAGCTTTAGGGTAAATTATTTATTGAATGGTTTTGTCCCTTTGCTTGGCACGCCAAACAGGCAACCGGTAAGGCTTGGTGGAAAAATCCACATTTGCAAGTTAATAATTTCATTAGAAAAATAATTGCTTAATTTCTTTGTAATATTCTTTTAATAAGTGTTGTCCATATAGGCCTCAATCAACGTTTTATATATATATATATATATATATATATATATATATATATATATATATATATATATATATATATATATATATATATATATTTATATATACTTTGTCTCTTGGGGGGGGGGGGTGACACCACAATGTGCGTTGCGCACACACACACACACATATATATATATATATATATATATATATATATATATATATATATATATATATATATATATATATATATATATATATATATATATATATATATAATATGTCAGGTGTCACCCGGCGCAACGCACATTGTGGTGTCACCCCCCCCCCCCCAAGAGACAAAGTATATATATATATATATATATATATATATATATATATATATATATATATATATATATATATATACTCAATAGTGAGCACGTTTACGTCATGGTGTCACCCCCACCCTCTTGTACCTTGTAATAATTGTCGATGTGTACTTCAAAGACTATTTAACTTTCATTAATCATTAATGGAACTGGCAAAAGGCCTTTTTTTTTTCCTGCACATTTTGCTTTTTTTTTTTTTGCCCTGGTGTCACCCCTCTAAATGGTGTCACGCGGTGCGGTCTGAACCCTCCGCCCCGCCCTCGCTACGCCTCTGAATTACATTTATATATATATAATTATATATTTATATTTATATAGGCAATGTAGTAAATATAGGGAAAAACTAAGCAACAACGTAGCCAAGTGTAGGAAAAGACTGGCAGCTTGCTACCCAGCTTTGGTGAATAGTCGAGGCAACGTGCTTATAAAAACACATTTGAGATCATTTTTTGGTAGAACCGAGGTCCCCGCCATGATGATGCATTTTAATATCAGCTCAAGTAAAAGGGGCGTCGCGAGGTTTATAGTCTGATGGCGCCTGGCTCCTGGAAACAAGTGCTACCTAATCCTAGATTATTTTTGAATGGAAAAGCTGCTACCTTAGTCTGATTTTAAAAGAAGATTTGTTCATTATTCGGTATGCGGTCTTTTTTTTAATTCACACACGTACATACACACTTACACTCATATAGGCATATATATATATATATATATATATATATATATATATATATATATATATATATATATATATATATATATATATATATATATATATATATATATATATATATATATATATATATTATATAAATATTTTATATATATATATATATATATATATATATATATATATATATATATATATATATATATATATATATATATATATATATATATATATATATATATATATATATATATATATATATGAACTAATGTAGAGACAGATGGACGTAGATATATTTAGATGTATACCTAGTCCCATCCTGTCCACTGAAAGGTGATCACAAATTACTTGTTTGACAGATTGCCTCACGGAAAGCATAAAGCGACCCCAGCCAAACGACCGTGAAGACCATAAAAGACTTATCTAGCCACTCCCACTGCACACTCCCATAAACGTAAAAAAAAATAAAAAAAAAAAAAAGAAAAAAAAAAAAGAACGAGGATTAATCTTTTCTTATCTGACTGCTCAAATTTGACCGCAAAAAACATCATTCATAAAAAGTGAATTCATTCATTCATAGTCAAAATAACTACTTGATTCATTTCCCACAGGCTATGTTGTGTAGGGGAAGGTTTTTTTTTCTCTCTCCGCAGTCGCTTGTTGTAAGTCTTCGCGTCCGTATAATCATTGATTCATTGCAACCTTCTCGCGCGAAACAGAATCGTAGTTGTCGTGAAAGATGTGTTGCCCTGTAATGTAATGCAAAGTTTTTTTTTGTAAGCCACGCACGATCTCCTGCTAATGGTGACAGTTGACTTAATTTCAATGACCGATTCGAGGATTACTTCACTTTTGTGTTCTTTCTTTTACATTGACCTCACCCTAACGCCCTCAATTACCGCCCTCACCCTAACGCCCTCATCATAAACCCTCGCCCTATCGCCCTACCACCCTCACCAACCACACCCTCACCCTACCTCCCTTTATCCTATCCCCCCTTACTCTCACCATACACCTCACCCTACCCCCTCCTTACTCTCACCATACCACCCCCTACCTCCCCCCCTTCCTCTCACCCAACCACACCCTCACCCTACCACCCTCATCCTACCTAACAGAAAAAAGTCATACATACAAACTAGTCGGGAAAAGACACAAAATAAGTCACAAAAATATTTTTTAAATATAGATCTAGATTTACTTATTGAGAAATATGAAATGAAACATCATTAAATCTTGAAAAGTTTTTTTTTTTTTTAAACCACGACTCCTGTGCATACTTCTGACTAGAATTTACAACAAAAAAAAACCACAATTGTACAACTTATAAATATCTTAAGTGTTTACATTAACCTGAATTAAATCAATTTTAATTTGTACTTTTCAAATACTAGTACAGTGAGGACGGTATTGACCGTACTGTGACTTTTATTCAAATTTCTAAATCACTTGATAGCTACTTGTATTCCGATACGCTCAATGTACTTTCAAATGTTTTTTTGTTTAAAAGCCTTTCCAATGTTTCATTAATCAAGAAGCATCATTACCTAAGCTCCAGTGTCCGTTTAAAACAAAAAAAAAATTGTTTCCCTCGGTTGGCCTCTAAATCGTCAATTTTGTCAGTTGCTGTCGTTTCAAATACTTTGGCCGGCAGCTGCCCGTTCAATCGTTTTTGCCGTCTGCTGCTGTTTCATTTTCTTTTGCCGTCTGCTGTCCTTTCTATGTCAGACTGCTGCCCTTTCAAATATTTTTGTCAGACTGCAGCCCTTTCAAATATTTCATTTTGACTAGTGTCCTTTAAAAATTATTTGTTGGCTGCTTTTTTACCAAATATTTTTACTTTTATTT